TTTAATAAGCTTTTATATGTAATTATGCATTTTCCACGTTAATTGCATTGAAAATCCGCGACTGATTCCCACAGTTTCCCAACCTGCCGCTCAGATGTTTCCACATCCTGTGCAGAGGTGATGCAGGAGTTCGCTTTTCGTGGCGGCCTGGGCAGTTTTTCATATCGCATATCTCATAAATATAAATGACTGAATTTTTCCGCAATTTGTCGCACACAAAACAAATTTCATTTTAATTGAAAATTATGCCAGAGCATTAACATGAACAGCGATTTAATGGATTCTGTAGGGGATTTCGTAGATGATGTTGTAGTTGAATTTATGGATAATGCAGAATGGGATTCTGTGTGTGTGTAAAATATTATTAAGATTCTTAAGATCCTTTTCAAAAAAATATAAGATAATATGATATATGATATATAACTATTTTGGTAAAAGCTTTAAATATGTGTAATGATTTGCGAATTTAAAATGTAAGATAGTTCACAAATCCGTAAGTTTTATGAGCTATTTGTGCCCATTAGCAAAAAGGGGATATATGTGACAAATTGTCAATCGAATGGGGAAACACTCAATCGGATTTGAGCTTGGCATTCCAAATCTTTTTGGTCCAAACTTATCGCTTTGTTGGCCGTTGACTTCGCCAACAGATTTGCATGTGTCAGCTGGGCGGTCGGCAGTTGTTTGTTGGCCTGGTCCAATGTGTTGGCTGACAGCCGCATAAATTGTTTTCTCATGTGTGCCAAATGTTTGACTTACGCGCAAAAATGTTTGTGCAGGTAAATCTTTTGTGTGTGCACCGGATTGGGTCAAATTTTTTGTCTTGTTTTCCGCAAGATTATTTGTATTTGTTGCTAGCCATGCATATAAATCAATTAATTTGAACATAAAAGCGGGAAATTTTTTTTGCAGCCTTTGCGTGCCGCAATGATGCAGGGGCGAAGTTATTTCCTCCACCTGGTAATTCGCAACTTTTTGGCTGCTTTTAGCTATGCCCACATCGAAAAATAATCAGCACGATGAAAAATGCGCACGCATAGTGAAATTGATAAAAAATATAAACGTGCATTTGCATTTAATTGTACATTTAGAGTAGTAGTGGTCACTTTATGTTTAATTTCCTTAATTTCCTTAATTTTTATACCCTTGCAGAGGGTATTATAATTTTGGTCAAAAGTGTGCAACGCAGTGAAGGAGACATCTCCGACCCTATAAAGTATATATATTCTTGATCAGGATCACCTCCTGAGTTGATATAGCCATGTCCGTCTGTCCGTCTGTCTGTCCGTCTGTCTGTCCGTCTGTCTGTCCGTCTGTCTGTCCGTCTGTCTGTTTCTACGCGAACTAGTCTCTCAGTTTTAAAGATATCGAATTGAAACTTTGCACACACCCTTCTTTCCTTTGCACGCAGTATATAAGTCGGAACGGCCGGGATCGGCCGACTATATCCTATAGCTGCCATATAACTGATTGATCGGAAATGCCATAACTCTGCTGTTTGTTAAGTTAGGAAGTTGGAATTTTATATGGGTTTTATATTTGGCCAATCAATCCGACCTACCAAATTTCATAAAGATCGGCCGACTATATCCTATAGCTGCCATATAACTGATTGATCGGAAATGCCATAACTTTGGTGTTTGTGAAGTTAGGAAGTTGGGATTTTCTATGGGTGTTATATTTGGCCTATCAATCCGAACTACCAAATTTCATAAGGATCGGCCGACTATATCCTATAGCCACCATATAACTGATTGATCGGAAATGCCACAACTTTGGTTTTTGTTAAGTTAGGAAGTTGGGATTTTCTATGGGTTCTATTTTTAACCAATCAATCCAACCTATCAAATTTCATAAGGATCGGCCGACTATATCCTATAGCTGCCATATAACTGAACGATTGGAAATGCCATAACTTTGGTGTTTTTAAAGTTAGGAAGTTGGGATTTTTTATGAGTATTAAGATTGCATCATATGAATAATTTTGGAGAATATAATTTACAGAATATTCTGCAAGGGTATATCAACTTCGGCTCCGCCCGAAGTTAGCTTTTCTTTCTTGTTTTTGTTTTTAATTTCTTTATTTATTCATAAGAATTTTTAACAAAATGTAAGTGTACTAGCAATTCTCTTTATCTTAACCGCCTCTGTGCCAAATGCATTTTTATCATAAAAGTTTCAGCTTTACATAGATATTAAAAATAATTTTCGCATACACATAAATACTTATCTGCCTGTCTCTCGCCATAATTGAAAATCATTTGCATTCGAATGGCAAATGGTTGGCTAAAACATCTGACAATCTGCCCAAAGCGGATGTGCCGAACAGCAGCTGAAAGGTTATTTGCCAGTTAGTTGCATGCATTACGTATACGCCGCGGTTGCTCCAAGCGACTGATTTGTGTGGCCGACAGACGGATGCTTTGCTCGGTTAATGTGAGTGGGAAGCCATTCGTCGGGATGATGGGCTCCAACTCGAGGGCCTGGGGCGCATTCTTGCATCCATTCATGAGGAGAAGGCTTCGCCATTACTGGCAACTTTCAAAATTTAGATGGTAGACTTGGAGTGGTTTTAGAAGGAATCACAAGACTCCCACATTCGTAAGTCCCTAACGGATTGCATAATGTGTTATTGTGTGAACCTAGGTAAAAGAATTTATTAATATATCTACGATTAAAGTATTTAAATTGAATGCGCATAACTCTCTCATCATTTATATGCAGGTTGCTAAATACGACTTTAAAGTACAACATTTAAAGACAAAATTGTAAATTTTAAACTATAGTTTTGATGAAATAGTTAATTAGGTATTCTCTTAATTATTTTCATTATATGTTCAATAAAGAAAATTGAATAAACCGGTATACATGGGTCTTTTATTCAGTTAGTAAACATGCCCTCTATTTTATTAATCTACACGGTATTCTTTACCATTGTCAACACTTTGACATTTACCTAGTCTTCGGTATGTTTGCGAGTGTGGGCAACCACTTTTGACATAAAAAATATATTAAAATCCGAGTAATAATCAAACACAATGCCAGAGTGATTGTTAATTAGAGGCGAGCACAAATCGCACCTCATTGAAATGGCAAATAGGTAAATATCGGAAGGCAGACGACGCTAGACGGCAAAAGGCGGATTGGTTCGCATAGCCTTCGTTTCGGTCGCTTAATTTCGCTTTTTATTGTCTTTCCATATTTTTGTTTCTTATGCATTTGCCACACAAAAAGTCGTGCAGCATTTGGTTGTGTTTTTATTTTTTTGGGGTGCGGACTTGGGCAACCTTCAAAAGCAACCACGTAAATGTCAAATGCCAAATATAGTAGAACTTTCCTGTCTGACTAATGTCGATTGCCATGAGTCTGGTCAGAAGTTAGAAAGTATTCCCAGGCGGCAACATCTTCAAATGCAATTGCCGCAATATACATATGCTCATAAATAACCTGAACTTTGGTGCTGTCTGGTTAATAAAACATGCGAATATTTCGCATGGTGTCGTGTCGGCCTGCGGATTTTGCAACTAGCAGACTCTTCCCAACGCCAGCAAAAAGTTACGCATGCGCCAAGTGGCCAAATGGATTGCCACCCGATGGAAAGACAGAAAGACGGACTGACACACCAAAAAAATAAAATGCAGTGCCGATTCGAACGCAGTTTTGGCTTGCGGTTTTGTCAGCCAGCTCTTGACACATCAAGGCAGGCGGTCGGCTTGCCGCAACGCCTGCTGCATCCCGCCTCCGCCTGCACTCAGACCCTGAAGTACAGTAGAGCTTAGCTAAATCAAATGTCATTACCCAAATATAAAAAGATTTTTTTGGTGTACAAATAAAATAGTTTTTTATGGTAAAACAATAACCCGTTTATTTATAAGATTTGTTTTTGCAAATTTGTATTTTTAGAAAATATACGTTTATTTCAGGAAATTTGACATTTATTTTTAATCTACAAAAAAATGTATTATAATATAATATATGTTATGAAAACAAAAAGTCAAAAGCTCCTTTAAAATTCGAAAAGATCTTAGAAATTTTTTTCTCTTCTCAAAGTTATGAAATAAGATAAACCCCTTTCGTTACACGGATTTTGTAAATATCTTGAGAGTATACATTTTTTGAATTCAAAGAATATTTTTTTATGGTTCATATTATTTTCTTAACAATTCTCAATAAGTTTTCCTTACTAAATCAACACTGTGCGCACAAAAGAATACATATATGTACATAAATGTGACGGCGTTGTCGTGTAATCTGCTAGAATTTATTGCTCTTAACTGGAATTTGTTGTGTGTGTAATTCGATTAACTAAATCCAAGCCAAAACAACTTGTGCCGAGCCAGTCTTGTTGCTGTGACCATAAAAAAAGTTCTTGTTGGTCACATTGTTTTTAACAATACCCTGCATGAAATTTTCGTTGGTTTTATTTTTCGTGGTAATATAGATCGATCAATTGAAATGTCTTTTGAGCAATCTAGTACTTTATCAAATACCTTTGAAAAGTACCATTCAGACATGTACATTCCAAGTGATTGATATGCAAATGTTATTATGTATGATTTTTAGGTAATTGAGATTTTAAATTCGATGACCAAAAGTCGGTGCTGAAAAATGGATAGCGCGTGTGAATAATATCGAAGATATGTAAATTGAATACTCCATCTAAAAAAATGATGGGTGCCATATAAGAGTAAACTCTTTTTTTAACTTTTCTAATCAATTGTTTGAAAAAAATTAACGATCTGGATAGAGGTCACTTAGTTAAGTAACTACGTAATTTTTTATTAAAAAAAAAACCTTATCCTTTTCATTAATTAAAGAACATAAATTTAATACTTTTTAACTTTTATTTTAAAGTAAATCCAGTTTTATATGAAAAAAGTGTGTTGTAAGTTTCGACGAAGCCAGTAAGTTGTAACTCACCTCTCTACTTAGCATGCGAGTCACATAAATATTGTGGGAAATTTTGATTTATGGGTTGGGGGATTGTCTTCACAGCTTACCAGTAAATAATAAATATCCACAAATGATGATGAACACAAAAGTTATCCTCGGCAACATTTTGCTGCTGTGTCTGCTGCTGGTAAATATTATTTTGTATTATTTTTTTTCGGCGGGAAACGATTCCTTTTCTTTGAGTCCCACTACTTGGGTTTGATTTATAAGTTGTGGTGTTTTGACCTTTTGCAATGTTTGTTTGTTTGTTAGCTAAACACTCGCACTTACTTTCATGCACTTGAAACCGAATCGGCAAGGCAACAAAAACCGCGTGCGTTACAGTAATTTAACGACTTGTTGGATTTCGCTTTAAGAAACAATTACTATCAATCCGTTTTTATTAGCAACTGCCACCACAGACAATTTGCAATTGGTGCTGCCGTTGCACTCGTTTGTTTATCTAACTTTGTTTTTTTTTTACTTAGGTTGACTTTTCCCAGTTGGAAAATGGAAAACCAAGCCACACCAAAGCCGGAGATTGCTTCAAATTTGCATGGCCTATAAAGCAGTTAAGTCGTATGTGAGGCGATTGCTCAAGATACCGCCAAAATAGCGGGCGGGTAAAGCTTCACGTTGCACAGTTGATGTTGCTGCTGTGCTGTTGATGTTGCTGTTGTGCTGTTGCAGTTGCAATTGCAATTGTCTTGGTTTTTTGTTAGACTTTTCCCGAGACAATGGAGCACAGCAATATGGCACAACACAAATGTGGCCGGGGACAATAATAATACAACTCGTACAGTGGATACACTCCTTGTTTCACTTTTATTAATATAGTCTGTAATTTTGTGTGGCTATCGATCGACAAGTACAACCGTTCAACTAGACGCTTCAACCTCAACTGACTGCAACTGTTGTTGAATACAAATACTTGGAGGTCTACTCAGAAACCACAAGATTCACTCCACTCCGTTAAAAAAAAAGCTCTCCAACTCAATATTGAGTGGGTCTTGAGCCCGGCCTGAACTCGTTTGTCGTGCCTCCAAAAAATATATGTTCAACTTGAGCGCGCACTCGGCCAGCTCACTTTTAATTGTACTAACTAGCTCGATCTACTCTGCTCTGATCTTACGCAATGGCCAATTGCCCGATGAATCACGAAAAAGTTAGCAGTCGAGAGAGCCCCGAACCCTATTTTGGGCAACCTTCGAGCAGGAAAAACTAGACACACAAGAACAAAAAGCTGGCCAGGCCGCAGCAGCTTCTAATTAATAGTGTAATTAAGTTTTTCATTTCATATTTTGTGCTTTTGGTCTGGCTAGAGCGGAAAAGCCTTAGCTAAGTGACACTTAGGTGCTTTTTCGGGGCCTTTCATTTTTGGAGGTTTTCTGTCGCTTTGTTTGTTTTTAGCAACAGCTGAATTAAAAAGCTTCACAACTAAGACAAACAAAATTTGATGTCTAGAAAGGAATTAAAATAAACTATTATATTAGTACCTTTTTAAATAAACTTTACATTAATCGATTTAAAATTGCTCCTTAATATTTGATTTTAAATATGTTAAATGGTTAAGAGCTGCTGTTTTAATAAGTTTGTTATTTACTAAATAAAGTAAGGAAGTATTTCAGTTCTTGAAATCAATGATAAATTAAATGTCCGACCATTTAGATTTTTGTATTGGTAAACTAATTTATTTATATGACAAGCAATTACGAGAATATGTTTCAACCTCTTATTTCGGTCAGTGTTCTGACCAAGAGCATCTTGAATGCTAACCGTTCTGCAGTTGACCTTGTATTATAGGTCTTTGGCTGCCACAGAATGAGCCTTGGACAAGGAACCTTCTTTTTCTGCCCGCATTTCAATGCATTTAATAGAGACACAAAGGAGAACTTTGGGAGGGGAAACTGATTTATTCGGTGCCGACCAGCATTCGCAATTAGCCTTGTCCAGATGGTTCCGATCGAATTGGTCGCTCAATACTGCTGGCTGGCATCAGTCAGTCAGTCCGGACAGCTCGGTCCAATCTCCTGAGTTCGGGGGGGCGGTGCGGTAGGCAGAAGTAGGCAGTAGTTGGCAGCACCTCAAGGCCTCCCACATAAATCATAATCACATTAGCCCCCGTCCGGCCGGATCGAGGTGTGCAGAAATCGCTGTTCGTTCGCTTCCCTGTGGTTAATTGCAAAAATAAATACAAGAAAAGCGTACTCAAATTATGTATTATATAAAACGAGAAACAATTATTAATGGCAACAGCCAAAGAGTCGGGCCTGAATATTACGCAGCCGATCTGAGCCAAGCCGAAAAGCTGGCTAACGAGGCGGCACAAAATGCTACCAAATTACGTGTCCGGCCGAGCGTCTGATTGTCTGTAATTGATAAACTGGCCAAAATGAACTGGACTGTCTGACCGTCTGGCCATCCGTCCGTGATCGACAGACGTCGGCTTATTTACCGCAAAGTTTATTAAACAAACATTTATGTTCACTCACAACTGAAAATTGCGTTTAATAATCGCATTTGTACTAACTTTTTTGTAGTAACTTTAATTGCCCGCTAATAGCTTTAATTTTTCTGCCAAGTGTTATATGTAATCAATGTAGAACTGCCAAAAGATCAATCAAATGAAGCCGCAAGGTTATGTAATCTCCAAAGACATATTAAATCAATGTCTACAACTGAGCTGATTAAGTTATGACAGCGTTTATCGCAGAGTCCATAAAATGATGCCAACTATCACAGAGTGATTGATATTTAGCCAGTGGATTAACGATCTAACACTAATCACACATCAGCCAGAGGCGAATTTAACGTTTCTTAATTATTTTTATAATTTCTATTCAATAGTGATTCTTGCGAGAGTGTGGGATTCTTTCATTCAATGTTTATCTGTAGTGCAGTAAAATATTTTTATTATCGTCCATTAACTTCTTGATTATTTGTTAGCTTAAGCATCCGCTTTCATAACATTGGTATATGGTTTCTCGTATTTAATATCCACAATTTAATGGCCGTATAAATCTGTAGATCTGTAGAAAGTAAACAAAATATAGATAAATTTAATTCAAGGCTATAAAAGAAAACTGTAATCATGGGTATTAAAATTTTGGAATGGAAAGGAAATCATTGTAGAGAACTTGGGCTTGGGCAATATAACTTTTAGGAAGTTGGTAGTTTGTGAGTTCTTATTTTGGGTTTCCATAAATTAATATTGGGTTCAGGGTTTGCGGATTATTGAAAAGTATTCCGTGGCCATTAAAACTAATTGGCGAGGAACGACTGAATGTGAATATGATTGGGGCTGGGGACTTTTGATAGACAAGGTAAACAATGGAAATGTCTATGTCGATATTAGGCTCTCAAACTCGAGCCCCCAAACCCTTGACAAGGTCAGGAGAATTGATTTCACATTGCCCCAAGCGGCGGGACTGGCAAAACGATACGAGTCTCGTTTTAATGATGTGCCAGATTCGGGCTCCTACATGGTTTCATTTACACGACAACTCTTGAGATTGGATCGCTCGATTGATGCCCTTTTATGGCAGAACGGCCCGTTGGCGCGAACTTGCCTGTCATCTGCTACAAATCAGCTGTCATAAGCCCGATCCGATCCAAGTCGAGCCAGCATTTCGGTGATTTTTACAATCACTTTCAAAAACCCAACTAACAGCCAAACAATCTTTGATAATGATCATTGCCTCTCCACGAGCGGCGGAGAAGATGATTGCGATTAAGACGAACAGAAAAAGCAGTGTTGCCAGTTTTGCTTTGCCAGAAGGAAACAAAATTGATTAGGTATAAAAGTCCTAAAATAAAATAATTGTATAGAAACGTATAAAAAATAAAGTTTTGCCGCAAGAAATAAGTAAAATTGATTAGGTACTAAAATGCTTCAGAAAATAATTATATTTTAGTAAGTATTTTTTTTAAAGGTTTTAAATTGAAAAAAAAGTTATCATAGCCATTGCTTCCACTTACAAATATTATATTTTGTTATCCCCAAAATAAGAATTAAAAAAATTAAATTACTAAACTCTCCTTTAATGGAAAACAAGTAAACCGGGCAGCTCTGTGAAGAAGTTGCCTCCGGTTGCCTCCGATTGGGAAATGCACAATTAAAGTCCGAGACACTCGCCGTTCACCTGTAGAGGTGGATAGGTGAGGTCAGTTTAGGTGGCAACTGGCAGCGCGGATTCATTAGAATGTGCAGCGGATTAATCTGCATGGCTATCATCCACTAACCACAAACCGCTATTTTTTCATGCATTTGCAGGTGGTTCGAGCGGCCAAGCAGAAGCTGAGCGGCTATGCCTCCGATACGCTGGCCAGCATTTCGAAGCGTTTCTGCCACCTGCACGGCTTGCTCCAGGTGGCCGAGCTGCAGGTCATCGAGAAGCTGCGCGAGTCCAGTCTGCCACCTCAAATGGAACTCAACGAAGCACTGGGCAGGCTGAGTGGCTACGAATCGGTGATCAAGGTAGGAGTGCATTTATATATATATATATATACTTTAATTCCATTCCTGAACAAATATTTCTTTTTATATAGCGCTTAAAGCAACTTCTGGAAAGTGGCACCGAGGACAACTTGGGTGTGCCTAAAGATATCAGCCTAAAATGGCTAATTAAACTGATCGGCGAGCATCTCGAGAATATTCCCACAACTGTCGAAATCACCAAAATCGATGAAAATCCATATCGGTAAGGGAACAAAAATTATCGCTTGTACTATAGGTACTTTAACTTTTGTTTTTACCATTTTAGCGTGACCTGTGGTCGTGTTATGGATATGGCCAATCTATTCAAGTGCGAATTTGTGGACCCGAAGATTCATGTTCGCTTAAGGACCGACTTGGAAAGCAATTCCAGCGTCGTAATGTCACCCAACGAAGACATCACCTTCTCCAGTTCTTTCAGCAGTGGCAAAGAAAACATTGCCCAGGCCAACGTAGTAGTTCCTCAATTAATGCTTACGCAAAATTCGAAAACAAAGCTGATATCAAAGGGGCCAAATAGTCGGGCCAAAAAGGCCAAGAAAACTCAAACCTTTTTAAGTTCGACTTGTGCCTCTACCGATGAGATTCCCTCAAGGGACTTTGTGCGCAACTTCTCGGCTTTGGACATTACCAAACCGAATGTGACAACGATTATAAAGAGTGGAGGAGACAAGGGCGATTGGTTCAAGACCGATGCGCTGGTTAAAGTTCGCTGCGTCAACTCTCCTGAAGATTTCTACGTCCAGGGCATCCATTCCGCCCAGCGATTGCGCGAGGAACTGGACACTTTTTCACAGACACTTACACGGGGCCGCTCTGCTCTACCGGCCATCGTGGTGGGCGAGCACTACATCACCTACCACAAGGATCAGGACCGCTTCTATCGCGCCATGGTCAGCCAGAAACTGGGCTCTCGGGACACCTACAAAGTCTTTCTGCCGGACATCGGCCTTTACGTAGAGGCTCATAGCAGCAAGTGAGTTATGATTGAAAATATTTTAATAGGTTTATGGATTTATTTAGGTATCGCATTATTATTTATTTAATTTGAGTAAAGTAATAAATTTAAGATAAATAATTAATTAAAGAAAGGACACGTAAAAGAGAGGCTCGATTTGGAAACCATCGATAATGAAGTTAATAAATCGTTTAAGTCGTACATTCAGATGTTTTACGATAAAGATTCTTAATCTATTTTTTATCATGAAATCTAACAGAAGTTAAATTTACTTGCAGCTTCCATGAAGTACCGGAGCGTCTGGCGCAATTGCCGTATTCCGCCGTACACTGCAGCCTGAGAGAGCTGATGCCCAACCACGGCGGATCTGAGTGGGATAATCGGGCCAGTGCCTTCCTTAAGCAGATAGTGCAGAAGTAAGTTAATTCCGCATTTCCTGTCACTAGAAACATTATCTAATTAAATATTTTTCTACTCTAGCAATCCTGTTCATGTGATCGTCAAGAGAGCTCTTTCCCATGAGCTGCATGAGGTGGATCTCATCACCAGCAACTACAATACTGACATCTCCGTGCGTGAGTCTTTTTTATATTCTGGCCTGGCGCGCTCCCGCTGCGGCCTCGCGCCAGCTATTGGCCATCAATGGCTGCAGCCTGCTCCGAGTACACTGCGCCTGCCCAGGATGAAGTTCCAGTTCGGCGACGTCCTCATGATCCAGATGCTGCACGTGGAGGACCCGCAGGAGTTTTACGTTATGCGCCACGACTTCGAGTCGAAACGCTGCTCACTGCAATCCAGCCTGCAGGGAACCATGGATCGCATTAGCATTAGCCAACTGCAGAATATATTTTTAGGACGTCAGCACCTCGGCTGCGTTCTCCAGTCAGATGGTCAATGGAAACGGGCTAGCATCGAACAGATTCTTCCCGATGGTGAGTTAACTTTTCAAGACTGCTTTCAAAGTAATTAAAATAAACTATTAAGGCAGAAAACTTCTATAATGATTAGGTTTTACCCTGGATGATGATTGGAATCTTTATTTTGATTAGTTTTAGATATATTTTTATACCCTTGCAAAGGGTATTATAATTTTGGTCAAAAGTGTGCAACGCACTGAAGGAGACATCTCCGACCCTATAAAGTATATATATTCTTGATCAGGCTCACCTCCTGAGTTGATATAGCCATGTCCGTCTGTCCGTCTGTCCGTCTGTCTGTCCGTCTGTCTGTTTCTACGCAAACTAGTCTCTCAGTTTTAAAGCTATCGAGTTGAAACTTTGCACACACCCTTCTTTTTTTTTGCACACAGTATATATGTCGGAACGGCCGGGATCGGCCGACTATATCCTATAGCTGCCATATAACTGATTGATCGGAAATGCCATAACTTTGTTGTTTGTAAAGTTAGAAAGTTGGGATTTTCTATGAGTTTTATATTTGGCCTATCAATCCGACCTACCAAATTTCATAAGGATCGGCCGACTATATCCTATAGCCGCCATATAACTGATTGATCGGAAATGCCATAACTTTGGTTTTTGTTAAGTTAGGAAGTTGGGATTTTCTATGGGTTTTATTTTTAGCCAATCAATCTATCAAATTTCATAAGGATCGGCCGACTATATCCTATAGCTTCCATATAAATGAACGATTAGAAATGCCATAACTTTGGTGTTTTTAAAGTTAGGAAGTTGGGATTTTTTATGAGTATTAAGAATGCATCATATGAATAATTTTGGAGAATATAATTTACAGAGTATTCTGCAAGGGTATATCAACTTCGGCACCGCCCGAAGTTAGCTTTCCTTTCTTGTTATTACATTAACTTATGCAACAATATTTAATTTCCGTTTCAGGTTACGTTCTTGTGCACCTGGTTGACGATGGTCCCAGCCAAAAGGTTTTCTGGGACCAATTGTTCATGCTGCCGCAGAACTTTTGGGATACAGAGCTGGCTATTAAATGCTGTTTGGCGGATGTGGAAACCCGTCCGGAGCTGGCCTATGTGTGGACTGCAGAGGCGACGGCCGCCTTCAAGCAGCTTACCGCTAATCCCAAGCTGCACATGGAGGTGATCCGTTCCACGGAGGATGTGGTGTATGTGGCGTTAAATTTCATTCGTTCGGGTTCGGAGACCACCAGCGTTGGAGTCCAAATGGTGGCCCAGGGATACTGCACCTCGAGTGGGGAGAGCAGTAAGATTGTCAACCCACCCGACTCATCCAGATCCGTGCGCCTAGACGTCGATACGCGCAGGTTTATTGAACAGCAGAAGGGACAGCCAGTGGAGATGGCTCCTTACCAGAAGGCCGATAAAAACGATCGAAACAAGCGTGTTAATGTGCAGGTTCTGTATGTTCGAAAGCCGGATGAGTTCTATGTGACCCTGCCCCACTTCCAGCCGGCCATACAGCTCTTGCAGAAGTCAGTGCAGGAAGCAGCTGCCGCCATGTATCAGGACATGCTGCCCAGGGCTAATTGGCAGGTGGGCGAAATGTGCTATGTGAGGGTCCAGGCAAAGTGCGATTCGCAGCTATTTTGGCATCGTGGAGCAGTGACAAAGGTCATACCTCCTAGCAGTAGTTGCCATTTGACCCGCTACCAAGTGCAGTTGAGAGATTTAGGTGAGCTGGCCGAGAACGTGGCTAGCTCTAGCATGGCGAGCATTGACGAGGCCAACATGCGTATCTCTAACAGCGCCAAACGTTGTTATTTGCACGGTATTCGGGCAATCGGTGATGAGTGGTCTGAAGACGCAATTGATTTCTTCAAGGATCAGCTGCAGGCCTACGATGATATCCATGTGACAGGTCACGGGTATACGGGAAACTCTTTGAGTGTTGTCCTTTGGGGCTCCCACACCATAATCAGTGGACCATTTTCGCCTGCTCGAATGAAGTACGTTAATATCAATAAAACCCTTCTGTTGGCCGGAATGGCCGAGAAGGATCTGAACTTTGATCCCGACGACCAGCAGTCGATACCCGATGGCAGCGTTCGGTCTGAAGGAACAGGAAAATCCTGCGACCTTAAAGCCATGCAATCCTATATTGACAAAATTGATAAGATGGGCACGGCAAAGAACCTTAATCCCGAAAAATCGCCGAGACTGAAAATTGGTTTCGAGCACAACGAGGACATGCCACCGCTGGAACTTCTGGAGGATTTTGGAAAGGCCAAGCAGACGACTGGGCAGACAGTACCACCTGTCGGATGGACTACGCCACGTAGATGCGAGAAGGCCATTTTCACGGCGATCGCCACAAATGTGAGTTACGAGTGCTGTGTCTACTTGACTTTGGCCAACGACAAGCCCTTCATGGACCATATGCGCAATCTTCTGGTGCGGAAATTCAAACCGCTAATGGATAAGCAGCAGGAGCGATCAACCTCATATATGTACGAGGTGGGACAACCGGTGCTAGTATCCTATCACATGGACAATCTGATCTACCGAGGAATAGTGCAGCGCTTGAAAAACAATCACGATGAGTACACCGTTTACTATGTGGATTATGGCAACATGGAGCAGGTCAAGGCGGATGAGATGCTGCCATTTGCCCCGTTCCCGGAACTAAACGCCATGTGCTTTCAAGTGACGATTCACGGAGTCCGATCGAAAAAGGGAAAGTATACCATAAAGGAGATGGACACGGTCCACCAGCATTTAGTTATGAAGCTGAGCAGTGTGCGTGTTATGGAGGCCAAGGTAGTGGGATCCGATAAGCTACCAACCTGCCAGATCAAGGTGGGCAATCTGGATATTGCCACCATGATGATAGACTGCGGCATATCCGTGCCAACCGAAAAGCCACATACCAAAAAAAAATCAATATTCATATCTTCGCAAAAAACTTTCGATGAGTTTAAAGTGTTCGACGAACTGGAGAACCTGGCATCCTTGGAAGGAGCTGTACCAGACGAAGAAGAAGCCAAGAGAGTCCAGCGTAAAAACGAAACCCAATCGTCGGTGCAGCAACCGCCCTCGAAGAAAAAGTACCTGGTCAATAGCAAGGAGATTGAAGCTTTTGAATGTGATCAGGATTTCGATTGCCAGCAAGTAGCTCAGGAGATGCACCTCAACAACAGTTTTTTTCTTGTTAACTTTAAAAAATACGCTGGTGAAAACGGTTCAGAAGAATCTGGACTGGATCTGGATAAATCAGGAGATGAGGAGCAGGGCTCGAATACCTCTAATATTATAGAAAACCAGGATGATGCCGATAATGAAGGCAGTCAGATGGAGCCTCAAATTTTTTCAGCCGCAGATCAAGTGCGGCGCCGCATTGAACTGCGTCAAAAGGTAAAACTTAAAAAAAAAATGTATATAGATTTAGTTTTTTCGAAGTTCTGTACAAATATTTTTTCTCATTTTAAGGAAATGAAAGACAAGGTCAGCTTTTCGCCCTTGGAAACCTCAACGGTGCGATCTTACTACGATGCTAGTGGCAGCTTCAAGACGCTTTCCCTTCCCAATGGAGTGAAGCAGTTCCAGTGCACCGTGGAGAGTGTACTGTCGGCCACGGAACTGCAGATCGCGCCATGTCTCTCCGAGTTCACCAAGCACGACATCAATTTGGTCCAAGAGACTAGCGCTTTGATCAATGATGCGGAGCCACTGAAGCGGCCCAAATTGGGGGACTTGTGTTTGGCCCGCTACTCGAAGGACAAGCAGTGGTACCGAGCCATTATCAAGGAGATTCCTCCGGGAAATCTTCAAGCCACCGTATTCTACATCGATTTCCACGACACCGAGAGGGTTTTACACAGCCATCTGAAAGTGATGCCCAATCAGTTGTTCATGTTTCCACTACGATCGTTTCGGGTCAAATTACACGGCGTTAAGAAGAACAAGAATTTCGAGGACAAGTCAGTGCGCCAGGCGCTGCAGGCCTGCCTCTGCAAATATCCGCTGGTCTTTGCGCGGGTTCACTATCCCCTAAACTATCATTCTAACAATATAGACGGTTCCGTTGGCGAATCTGATCTGATCGAAGTAGAGCTGTTCGAGAACAGGCACCAGAAGAAGCTCTTGTACCAATCTCTCTGTGACAATTGGATGCTTATGAAAAAAAAATGAATTGGCAAATAGCCAAAATAAATGTAATCTATCTTTATATTTTTATTTTAAAAGCGCTTAGGATATGCGCATTAATACATAAAGGAATATGTATCGCAGTATTACTCCACATTATAATTTACTCAACAGTTTAATTCTCCAAATTGTTGCTATTAACCATTAAACGTTTTCACATTTAAAATAAATCGATTGTTTTTATTAAAATTTTATAATTGGCAACACAGAGGCACAAAATCAAATTTTTATATTTCCACGAATAATTTGGTTAATTTTAATAATATTATTATAATCGGAATTCTCTGATTGATTCCGGAATTCCGCAATTACCCAAACAGGGTCAAGGGTTGGCCTGTGACTATAGAATGAATGCCGAAGGTACGACAACGAAAAATAATTGACACTCGCTCGCATATTTGTGGTACTTTATAAACCCCCACTTTTGTGCTTTATATTAAAATTGCGCATCTATACAAATTTTTATAAAAAATGTGAAATCAAAGATTTTTATAGTAAAGCAGGGTAATAATTTAAAAATGAATTAAATATGAATATGACGGTCGACCAATTTACATATATTTATACAGACTAAAGTAAGTCTGCAAAATATTTTCTGAAATTTTATTCCGAGATGCCCGTAAGCCCTGAAAATGGTTGGCACGTACTTTTTAACTGCCCAGTAAATGGTTCAATAAAAGTCAATAATTGTTTTGTAATTATCCATAAATTGAATTTATTTCCTCCATAGAATGGGATTCTTTCCATTAGTTCTCATTGAAATTTGTATCATAAGTTGTAAATATTTTAAAATTGTTTTTTTTTCATTTGTTTGTTTTCGTTATTATAATGCATGTATGCATGTATTGTGAAATTTCATTTATACTTAATGTTGTGTTCACTTAATGCTAGAAATTTTAACTAATTGCTGCATTAAACCATTAAAACAATCCTTTAAAATAGCCTAGAGAAGTTGCAACTACTATAAATGGAAAATATGCTACGTACATCGAAATTGTTTATCCAATATGACAGTTGTGTTCGCTTACGTTCGATTGCTGGCAAAGAGCTTTCTCTTCAATTAGAAAAATACAAATTATATAACAAGTTGTTAGATGGGTGATCGTTTTCTGTGTATGTGTCCTTTGTTTAGAATGTGCTCAAGTTTTTGGAAAAACTCGAAAATTTAAAACCAATTGCGGCTAACTTATATTAAACTAGTATGTTTTCCTACACATAGATAGATAAATGAATAAACTTAATACGAACTAAGCTACAGAAATGAAAAGTATCGCGGCATATAGTAATTAATCGATGTATATTGCACTGAACTAGGTATGCCATTTCACTAAAGAGTTTTTAAAACTAAAACCTAAACGGGATTAAAGCGGTTGACGCGAATTGCGATTCGAATTGGGAGGAAGAGAATGGGGTTCACTTTCACATTTAGCTACGTTCTTAAACCACATCCAAAATGTATGATTAGTAAAATTTAATTATTGTGATAATGGTTTCTTGTTTGCTTATTCAACAAGAGTTGGCAATCGCATATATAAACTAAATATATAGTTCGATAAGTAATACTAATTTGTTGTTTTCTTTTGTTTTGTTGTTTTAACCACAGACACACAGTACACACAGAGAAGAGTCATGAACAACTACCTAGGTAATGATTATATTAAACTTTAGTTCGATTTCCAAGCCCGATGATACGGAGCCCCCTTTAGGCCTCCACAGTGAAGGGATCACGCGAGTGGTGGATCTTCAGATGCTTGTTGTGGTTGGTCTTCGTGGTGGAGCTCTTGCCGCAGATGGTACAAGTGAACGGCCGCTCCCCGGTGTGCATGCGCCGATGCTCGATCAGATAGTAGTGTCGATGGAAGGACTTGTCGCACTGGTCGCATGTGAACTTTTTGGTGCCATGATGTTCGCGCCGGTGCCTCATGTAGTTGTACTTGCGGATGAACTTGCAACCGCAGTACTCGCACGTGTACGGCTTGATCTGTTTGTGCGCGTTTATGTGGTTCTTGAAGTCCAGCTCCCGCACGAACGCCTTGGGGCAGTACTCGCACTTGAAGGGCTTGGCCGTCCGGTTGGCGTGCACCCACGAGTGAATCTTGAGATTCCATTTGGTGGAGAAGCTCTTGCTACAGATTGCGCAGTCGTACTGCGGCTCTGTCGAATGCGTCGCCATGTGCGCCTTGATAGACGTCTTTGCGAAAATCTGCTTGCACATTGGACACTCCATCGGCTCGGCGTAGTCGAACTTGTCAGAGTGCGCCAGCCGAATATGACGACGCAGCGAATTGGCGTGCACGAACCGATCGCAGCAATACGGACAGCACTTGGGCTTCAGGTCGTGCGTCTCTTTGTGCCACAGGAAGCGCGCCTTCGAGGGCAGCACCTCGCCGCAGTGGCAAACATACTCCTTTTTGCGCACCATCATTTTGGTGTGTCGCTTGCGGTGTTGCGTCAGATTCGAGTAGCGCTTAAACTTTTTGCCTGTATTTTGCATAAAATATATCAATTAGTGTTTCTCCAAAAAGTTATTTTTGGATGAGTCGATAAGTATGCTTTAGACAATGGTGGGCCTATCAAATTGCTTAGTATAATTTTTTTCTAAACAGTCCAAATCAATACTAATCGACCCATCTCAATATATTCCAATTTATTTATTGTACTCACCGCATATCTTGCACTTGAGCGGCGTTTGACCCGTGTGCATCCGCATGTGCTCGACAAGGGCACTGCGCACCACGAACTTCTTGTCGCAGACGTAACATCCAAACTCCTTCCAGCCCAAGTGTCGCTTCAAGTGCAACGAGAAGTTTTTCCAGCGATAAAACTTCTTGCCGCAGGTAAAGCACTCAGCTGGATGCTCGGTGAGATGGGCGTCGTAGAGCTTTACGGACGGGAAGTCGGTGCGGCAGACGTAGCACAGAAAGATGGACTTCTCCATGGCCTTCTGCTCCAGCTCGCTGAGATTGTTGCGCTCCTGACCGAGCTTGGATTCATTGTAGGCGATGAGCATGCGATACAGAGCAGCCAACTTGGCGGCCGGCGTTGTCATGGCCAGCGGCGGTAGCGTGGGCTTCTCATCCAGCTGGCTTGGTGGCTTTATGTCGCCATCCACATCCCCGTCGCCATCACCACCGATGCCCAGCAGCTCGGAGTCCTTGACATCCGACAGCAAGTCGGCATGGGCGTGCATATGCTCCACCTCCTGCTTCTCCTGGCACTGCTCCTGCTTTATCTTGACAATGCCATCCTTGGAATCCTCCTGCAGACCATCGCCTGACTGCAGGATCATCTGCTGCTGCGGTGGCAACATTGAAGCGCTGACCTGCGGCTGAGTACAAATGAGCCGGCGGTTCTGCCGGACGTAGTTGTGCTCGCCAATCATATGCGCATTGCGCTCTTTGAGCTTTTCAAAGATCGCCTCGCAGTGGGGACACTTGTACAGCTTGCGACGCTGTGGTTTCCGCTGCGCTAGAGCAGCCGCCTCCGCTGCTGCCTCTGCGGCAGCCCGAGATGTCGAAGCTATTGGTGGACCCGCCAACAAAGCCGAAGACGCGGATGTGGTGGAGGTGGCCGCAGTAGGGATGACATCCATTAGTTGACTCTTTCTGGAGCTGGATGAAGCCTCATCATCAACCGCATTGAACTCGAAACTGTAAGTGTTTGAAAGAATGGATTAAATAAGGAAAATAATCTTAAATAACATTAACAGCTGTATAATTTTATTAAAAACAATTTCTTTAATTAACTTCCATTTCAAGTTTGCTTATCAAATTTGACACGAGTAACAATTGGCTTAAAGTAGACTTACCGTTTTTGCTCCCTCTGCTGGGCGCTGAGATCCTGAACCGGGTAGTAATCCTGTCGCCAGTCGGGATTGTAGCCGCCTGAAAATTGGTTCCTGAAATACCGCTGAGAAATATCCCCATATACCTGTAATGAAAAGGAATTTGTGATTTCAATATTCAGCCTTAAACCAGTGTAGCTACAACATACCGATTCACTCCAGGAGTTCTCGATGTCGCAGTTGCTCTCCTGTTCGGAGATTTCACCCTTGGCGGGCATCTTCTCATCGGTGCGGATGTTCAGGCCACCCACCAAACTGCTCTCCGTTCCAGCGCCGGCGAAGGAGGACGACGTGGTGGATGCGGAGGCCGAGGGCAGGTTACTGCTGCTGCTCAACTGCTCTCGTTTGCAGGCGTCCAGATCCAGATACTTGGCATCCTCATCCAGGGCAACGCTACAGCAATCGACTGCCGCCAGAGCGGCATTAAAATTGGTGGGCTGGTGGCTGACCACATCGTGGCTCTGATTGGAGGGTGTCCCTGTTCCCGACTCCGCTCCCCCCTGATTTTGGGCATCGTGTTCCTGCTCCTGCTGGTACCACGACTGCAGCGACTGTGTCTTGGCCACGCGGAATGTTGCATTCATTGAGTCGTGATCCATGGAATTACTGGACGACGAGGCCAGGGTGGCCGCATTGGTGGCATCGCTCACCCCATGCTGCTGGTGCTGCGGGTGATGCTGCTGCCTGGAGAAGGGGTTGAAGTAGGTGGCCGTTGTGGCCGTGGTTGTGGTCTGGTGGTACAGAAAGTTGAAGTCCGGCGGCTGCAGCGTGGCCTGCACCTGGGCCGCTGTGGAGGTGTAGGAAGACGACGAGGATATCACAATCTCATCCACATCCATGTTGTTGTCCGGCAGGATGTACTCCTCGCCTGGCTTGGCCGTCGCCACCGCTGCCGCCGTCATTTTGGGGCAGGAGCTGCTGCTGCTGCTGGCAAAGACCGATCCCGCCGAGGGAAAGCCGACACTGGCATTCACCACGAAAGTGGTGCTGGAAGCGGCCAGTGGTGGCGGTTGCTTTGAGTTTGCAAACTCCAACAGCACCCGGGCATCGTCATCGTTCGCCGCCGAATGATGGTGCAGCAGTTTGCGACTGGCGGTAAGGTGCTTCTCCAGAATGCTGCTGCTACTGCTAGGCGCTGAAGCCTCCTGGGTCTCACTCTTCACCTGCACCAGATCTCTTGATATGGATGGGTTGCTGTTGGAGGAAGATGGGGTGTCAGTCTTTTTCGTTGACGTCGCTGTCGCTGGTGCTGTTGCTTTTGGTTTGATGACTAATTTCTTGGGGCCACGTTGCTGTGCGGGAGTGGTGAAACGCTGCGGTAGCAGTGTAGTGTTGGGCTCCACCTCAACCTTCACGGGCGGCGGCTGGGTGAGATCCTCGGGAGGCACTTCAGTCGCCGTTGCGGACGCCGTCGCGGTGGCCGTGCTTGCCATGCGAATCACACTGGTGGTGCCGTGCTCCAGGCTGGGCTTCTGCTCCAGCTGCTGCGCTGCCACCGCCACATTGTCGTAGTCGTCCAAGGGCTCCTCCTTCTCCACCTTGACGAGTGGTATGGGAGCCACAGCGGCAAAGGGACGACCTGCCCCAATGCGACTGGAGGCCACTATGTTGCCCATCAAATCGAGATACTCATTCATATTCAGCGGCACATCGCTGAGCACTGTAATCCGATTCTTCTTGGACTTTGTTGTGGTGATAGTGTTGGAATTGGAGGCGGAGTTGGAGGCGGAATTGGAATGATTCTCCGCTTGATTTGAGGAGGAAGTGAACGCACCAGCAGTGCTCGTAGAAGGTGCTGTGGAAAGTGGAGGAGGCAACGGTGTCGCCATACTCGGCTGCTCCGGCTTACGCTCCCTTTCCAGCTCACTTTCGCAACCACTGCTGAGGCTCATAAACTCCTCCTCGTCCGAGACGCGCTTAGAGCTTCGCTTCGGCTTTGTCTTGCGAGCCTTTTTCGTTGTTTTGCTTATGTTCCGGCTGTGACTGTTATCCTCCCGCTCATCGTCACCGTCCTCCTCCTCCGGCGGAGCATCGTGGTCGTCCTCTTCTTCCTCATCCTCTTCGTCCTCATCGTCATCGTGTATGTGGAGGACACTCGGCGGGGATTGGTAAATGCGCTCGATCACGGAGAACTCCCCGTCCTCCTTCTCCACGCACTCCACAATATGCTTTGGCGTCTCCTGGACAATGAAGTCTCCGTTCTCGCGCTCCAGGTAATGGGCCACCGGCGACTCAGCAAAGCGCAACACCGACGAGGAGGCGCTGGAGGAGGCTGGCGATGCGCAGGCCACAGCTGCCGCAGCATTGAGCAGGGCTCCAAACGGAGAATTTGTCTGACGATTGGCCCGCAGACCAGATGCCGAGGTGGATGGGTTGTTGGAGGAGCTGCAGGTACTGCTGACACTAGATCCATAAGCCTGCAAGCTCGGCGACTGCTGATGATGCTGCTGCAACCTGGCGGAGGACGATGTGGCCAGCTGTTGGTTCGGCTGCTGCTGCTGGTGGTGCGGATGTTGATGGTGCTGATTTTGATTTTGATTGGCCTGATGCTGTACCAAATTGTGGACCTGCACCTGTTGCTGTGCCGGTGGCGGTGGTGGGGGATTCAGGAATACTTCCGCCAGCGGCTTACTGAGCTGCTTGCCAGTTGCAGTTGCAAGGGGAGTTGAACCCGCTGCTGTCGTCGGTGGTGCCAGGGCTAAATTATGGTGCACGGCCACATTTTGAGACTGTGGCTGCTGCTTGTTTTGGTTGTGCTGAGATCGTATTTGACTGATGGCGGCTCCGTAGGCGGGAGGTGGTTTCTGGTGCGATTGCTGCTGCTGCTGATGTTGCGACTGCGAAGGGGCAGCCGTCGGCTGTTGCTGCGTAAAAAGCTGCAAGGAAATTGGAGTTGTGGATCAGGAATAGCTCAAATTCGAAACAGGATGCACAAGGTAAGGGTTTGTTTAACTAAAACTAAAACTTATAAAATGTAATTATAAATCCAACCTTTAATTAGGCTAATTATGTAATTTAATATGAACTAATACTATTTGATCCCCACCAATTAAAGAAAACTTATTGAAAATTCGTACCAAAAAATAATCACTTGAATTTTTTTTCAAGTTATCTCCCTAAATTCTGAATACGCCCAACATTTAAATATACCATATTTAGCTTAGCTTTCATTTCATATATTTGGAATACGAAATCTTGTATATAAAAAAAATAAACATAAAACACCACACACATTCTCTACCTGTTTTTAAAGATTCATTGATTTTTACCTATTTTAAACCACTTTAAGATCGATTGAACAACAATTTGTTTGTTTAATAGTAAAAAAAACTGAACAAATGCAACAAATTTTACTGTCATTATACGTAGTCTGTCGTTAAGCTTAGGATAAACTTGAAACAGAGGGTCAGCTCAGTTTAAATATTACACAAATAGACGCGGATTAACTATTGGTTTATTTTTTATCCTTGATCCCCAGTAAGAAATGGCCCTAAAAATGAGGGCCCTAAGAAACAATTACATCCATTTTAGTCATTGCAACTCACCTGCAGCGGCGGAGGTGGGGGCAAAGATGTGGCGTAGCTGAATTTAAGGGCAGGCTGCTGCTGTTGCTGCTGCTGATGCTGCTGCTGCGGGGGCTGCTGCTGATGGGTGAAGTGAGCCTGCTGCTGATGGCTGGCGAGGAAGTGCTGCTGTGGCACCTGTGGTATCACCAGCGTCGCTGCTGAGCCGTTAACACCACGCCCAAAGGCCGTCGTCTGTGGCTGCTGTTGCTGCTGATGCTGCTGCGGGTTGAAGCGATAATCCGGAGTGACCTGCGACGGCTGGTACAAAGTGGACACGCTGCTCGTGGTGGGATGTGCGGATGTGTTGGCTCGCGCCTCAGTCGTGGGCGGTGCGCATTTCAGTGCTTTCATCGGTGGATTGCTCGGTTTGTTGCTGTTACTGCTGCTTGCGGAGGGGGAGGTGGGTGTGGAGCTGGATGTGGAGGAGGCGGCTCCGTTGGAGCAGGCTGCCACGTGGGAGGAGGAGAGCGGTGGCGGTGCTGGCGGCACCACAGGCGCAGCTGGTAATGCTGCTGATATGGTTTTGGCCACAACTGGTTTGACATCGCCAGCAGAAGGCAATGATGAAACTGCTGGTTTCTCATCAGCCGCACTGGCCTCGCCACCACTGGATCCACCCCCAGTTCCTCCTGCCAGCATGGCGGCAGCCAGAACACTGCCCATGCTGTTGCCACCGCTCCCGACGATCGTCATCTGCACCAGCGCCTTGATCACCTGCTCCTTGGGATGGGTCTCCAAGTGATCGGAGAGATTCATGCCCGCATGCAGGTACAAAGTGCACACGGGGCACTGAACGCTGTTGTCGACCATGATGACGGCTTTAGTTTGCTCTATCTGTGGCTCCTGGCTACTCCTGCTCCTTCTCCTGCTCACTGGCTGCTCTTGCTCCTCTTTGGGAGTCTGGCTTCTAGCTCTCTAGTGCGACGGATGACTGGCTTGGCGGCCACTCAGAGTCATAAAACTACGTGTTTTCTTGGCTTGACGTCCATCTTGCTCAATCCTCTGATTCGACGCGGGCAAGCTGCAATGGAGAACAGAAGGAATGTCAGAATGTTGGTGCCAGAAGTCTTGGTGCCAGGCCGTGGGGCTCCATCCGCGCTCCGATATCACCGCCTTCTGTAAGACGACACCCGATATGCGAAGAATTCGCCGTCCGGCGATCCAACGGATCGGTTGTCCGCGGAATGCGTACAGCGTAATCTTTAGAAACGTGGTTCTTTCCAAACAAATCAAACTTTACGGGGGGAGTACACTTTGAACAACTTTACTCGGGGAGGATCGATCGAAATAAGCACTAAAACATTGAAAAGCACACACCACTTAGAAATTTAAATGTGTTTTACAATCAAAGGTTTTTTCAAATTAAGTGCCTATTAAGAAACAAAATTAATCTTGGTAAATGATTATGAATTTTTAGTAGCAGAAGTTATTCTTATAATAAGAACAAGGGTTTACTTTAAAATTAAAACTACATTTTATATTGTAATTTAAAAAAATCCGTATTTAAAAATCATTATTTAATAAATAAGAATTTTAATTCAGCTATTCACAATTTTTAAAATAGTTATATTCATTGAATTTAATTTAAGCAACTGTATTTTTAATACACAAATACTTTCTTTTTTCGGAAATGGCAATTCTGCGTAATAATCAAATTTATGAAACGCAATTTATGCCAAGTCTGCGTAATAATGTAGATTAAATTTTAAACCTTAATCCCTGATTACTAATTAAATAAGTTTTGTGAGAAATAGAAAATCATAGATAATAATTAAGTATAACTTCTGGGATTTAATGCCAATTGTGCATTGAAAGGACCTGCTTGGAAGACCCAGAAGGAAGCGAGAAGTGGCAATCAATTTCCAGCTGGGAGCAGTGGAAGTGGCGGATTGGAATGCCGGCCGCAGATGAGTGAGACAACTTCTAGAGCAGCTTTTTTCATCAGAGTCGCAGGAAGAATCGAAAAAGAGGCAACGACCCAGCCCGATGACGAGTTATTGGCCGTTCCCCTCTTTCTCTGCTTTTTACCAGCCTTTTGCCAGAACTTTTGCTTTTATTTATAGTCTGCAGACCAATATTTGCTGGCTTTTTTTTTTTTGGGATTTGGAGTTGTCCATCTGAACTTGGGCTGTGCAAGGGTTGCTCTTTGTGTTAAGGACGAAGGACAATGCGAGGGCTGCACATAAACAGCGGCAAACAAATGTCTACGTCTGTTGCTATTGATTTTTCCTTTGCAAAGGTTACACACACCACGCACACACAACACCCACATGCACACAGACAGCCGAAAAAAGAAGAGCACAAAGTGCGTGTAAATGCATTATGTTTCAAATATTCCATTTTTCCAGCGAACCTTTTTTCCAGTGTGCCTGTGCATGAGTGTGTGCGTTAATGTTGCTGATCTTGCCACTTATTTTACGATTTTCTTTTCCTGCTTATTATTCACATAATTACGGACACACACAATATAAAAATGCACATATTTCCGCTTTTGTTCGCCATCGATTTCGTTTTCGTCCATGAAATGGAATGGAATGACACTTCCAAAGAGAGGACGCCAGCTAATTACCAGTATCGATCGAGGCAAAGAGAGCGACCGAGAGAGGGATATCCTTGGAAGAGTGTGCACCTGCGGTCGTTGGAAGAGGAGTAGGATTTTGCGGCTCCTTCCTTTCCTCTTTCTCTTTCTTTCGTTCAATGACACAGAAATCTTTCCTCTCGTCTTCTGCTTTGTGGGCTCCTTCTTCCAATATACAATATACAAGCGAGCTTTTTTATATGTGCGAGTGCGACTGCGAGGCCATCGCTGCGTTTATCTCCCTCTGTCTGTGTGTGTGTGTGCGAGTGTGTGTTGGAGTGCGTGTGGCTACACACAAAGTAAAATTTTCAGGCACATTTTTCATGCACTTTGGGACGTTTTTTCACTACTGCCGCGACGAAATCGAATAAACGCCGCTTTCATCTAAACTTTTCTGTGCAATTCGAGCATTTTGCTGCACTTTTCACTGTCGAAAACCGTTTAAATCGTTTTCACCTTGCGACAAGAAAAATTACAACACCAGGCGTTGGAGTGCTGCAAAACGTATGCGGGCTTCCCGAATTTACCAACACTGCAAGGGGTGGTATTTTATTTGTAGCCCTAGAAGGGGAAATTTTCGGTGGAAAGAAGAAGCAACAAGCCGCAACGCAGGGAAATTTGTGTTTTAGGCAAACTTGTCAACGTTTGCTAAGATTTTCAAGGATTTGTGCATTAAATAATAAATAACAGATATGGCAGATAAGGCGCAGGAGCAGAGCATCATGGACAAGTCCATGAGGTCGGTTTTTGTGGGGAACATTCCCTACGAGGCCACCGAAGAGAAGCTAAAGGAGATTTTCAGCGAAGTAGGACCGGTGCTGTCTCTCAAGTGAGGTTTTAATGGATAAATGTAGATGAATCATGTACCTAATCACAATCCCAATCCATTTAGACTCGTCTTCGACCGGGAAAGTGGCAAACCCAAGGGATTTGGCTTCTGCGAGTACAAGGACCAGGAGACGGCCTTGAGCGCCATGCGGAACCTGAATGGCTACGAAATCGGCGGCAGGACACTCCGCGTGGACAACGCCTGTACGGAGAAGTCGCGCATGGAGATGCAGCAACTGCTGCAGGGACCCCAAGTGGAAAATCCCTACGGCGAGCCCTGCGAACCAGAGGATGCCCCCGAACTGATCACCAAGACGGTGGCTTCATTGCCGCCGGAGCAGATGTACGAGCTGATGAAGCAGATGAAGCTCTGCATCGTGAGCAATCCTTCGGAGGCGCGCCAAATGCTCATGCTGAATCCCCAACTGGCCTACGCCCTTCTCCAAGCCATGGTGGTCATGAGGATCGTGGATCCGCAGCAGGCGCTGGGCATGCTCTTCAAGGCCAACCAAATGCCGCCCGTCTTGGGTGGCAATCCGCACCAGGGACCGGGAAATATCTCCATGATGGGCCAGCAACAGCAGCAGCAACAGATCCCGCCGCAGCAGCAGGTGCAGATTCCCCAGCAGCAACAGCAGGCTCCGCAGCCACCGATGCCCGTTCCCGGACCCGGTTTCCCACCAAATGTCCATCCCAACGATATAGATTTGCGCATGGTGGCCGGTGGACAGATGCCGCTGGATCCCCGGATGATGGCCCGCGGAATGGATCAGGATCTGCGGGGGGCTCTGCCCAATCCGGTGCCTCCGCCGCTGATGGATCCCCGGACTCGAGCCCAGATGCCCACCCAGCAGCAGCAGGGTGTCCCGCAGGCGCCGCCCGCTCCGTATCCCAGCGATCCGCGCCAGCGACCCATGGATCCTCGGTTGAGGGCTGGACCTGGACCCCAACAGCAGGCTCCGCCCCAGGGCATTCCCCAGGCTCCGCCGCCAACGCAACAGCAACAGGCCGCCGCTCAGCAGTTGCAGAGCAGGCTGGGCGCCCACGGAGTCCTGCCCTCCGATGCCTCCGACCAGGACAAGGCCGCCCTCATCATGCAGGTGCTGCAGCTGTCCGACGAGCAGATTGCCCAGCTGCCCTCCGAGCAACGGGCCAGCATCCTCATGCTCAAGGAGCAGATCGCCAAGAGCACTCAGCGTTAGTTTCACTCCAGCATGCAATATCGACAAACAGCCATTTCGTATGCTTACTATATAATTTTCAATTTGAATCAATCAATAAAAAGAACATTCTCACACAAGGAGATTTATTTTGCGGAATGTCTGCGGTGTTCAGTGGGCGGAGACTAGGGTCTGGTGCAGCTTCTGCACCGTCGTGTTAAGCATCTGTCGCAGGACATCGTCCTCGGCGCAGTTGACGGACTGAAAGCAAGCGGAAATTTGCGATTAATTAAAATGTTTAAAGAAATGCGAATTATTATTAATTTTTAAGACAACCACAATTAAACAATTCTTTAATGACCCGAATATTCCCCAAAAAGTTGGAATACGTAAAACGTTGTCAATGAAGATTATGAATAATGCTAATTAGGATCTGTGTTTTTGGCTCACCAGAGTTTCCAGGTTAATTTCGGCCCGTTTTCCACTGACCGTCACTGGCAGCAGATCGCCCTTGAACATTTTGGGCACGCAGCTGTCTCCGAAGGTATCCTGCAGGGTCTCGATGAGGCACTCCCGAAAGCGCGAGTCCTCCGACTTGGTTTGTTTTGTGGCGCCCTTAAGATTCGTTCCTCCCAGCTCCGATTGCATGATGCAGGCAAGCACTGCATCTGCATACACATCGTTCACGTGCGTCGCCTGCCACTCCATCACGATGATCTTCTGCTCCACAGTCAGCTCAATGCAGCCAAAGATCCGCAGCTTCCGCTCAGCCTCCACCACCTCCACACAGCCAGCTCCAATGCGATCTAGCAGGAGTTCCAGAGTGGTCAGCGAGCTGCCCCAAGGAATCGACTGGCGCTGGGTGACAACTGACATACTCATGTCGGTGTATTCTGCGAAAGAGTTTTTAAAATTCGGATTAAAAGATTTACAGAGAACACGTTCAATAAATTATACTTACTGCCCAGATCAGAGGGAGCCAACAGGTGGTACTTAAAGTCGCGTTTGACCAGAACGCCTGATAGTTTGCTTCCCACCTCACAATTCTTAGCAGCCAGGCTTCCCATAACCTTGGCAGTCTTCTCGCCGCGGAAATACAGATCCACGGCGTGGGTGTTGCGCGGGTTGTAAAACTTGATGTCTGTGCTGGCGTCCGCTTCGTATTCCCGCTGCAGGGCCAGCTTCAAACGCGACATCTCATTCTGCTCCCCATGGACGAGCACCACATGCGTGGGCTTCAGCAAGCGGATGAACTCGCTGGTCTGCTGGTAGTCCGTGTGGGCAGAAAAAGAAATGTAGTCCACGGACATGTTGAGCGGCAGCTTCTGGCCCGACAACGTGGTGATCTCCTCCGGCTCAGAAAGTATTGTTTTGGCCAGAGTTCCCTCCACGCAGTAACCGGCGATGATCACACCGTTCTTGGGATCCGTGCACCAACTCTCGAAGAGCTCTCGCGACAATCCCGACTGCATCATACCGGGCGAGGCCATGATCACACAGGGTCCTATGTCCTCGAAATGGTCGATGCCCTTCAGGTTGGAAATGTGTCGGAAAACAAAGGGATTATTTACGGCTATCTGCCGTCGGATGCGATCGTTCATGGCATTGATGTACGTCTGATAGACAGCCATGCACTTTTTGGCCAACGATGAGGCATAGTAGATCGGGATCTCGTGTAGCTCCGGGTTTTGAGACCAGAATTCATCCAGAATAAGCAGCAGTTCCTGGGCGCGACCCAAGGCAAACACTGGGATCAGGCATCTGCCGCCTTGCTGGACAATTTTCTGCACCAGTGAGGTAAATCGATTCTCGCGATCCTCGCGTTTCTCGTGGATGTGAGTGCCATAGGTGGACTCTGTGATCAGGACATCTGGCTTCATGGGCGGTACCTCGGCGGCCATCAAATGGCGATCCTCCTGGCGCGAGAAATCTCCCGTGTACAGGATCTTGATGCCAGCAATCTCGATCATGAACATAGCAGCTCCCAGAACATGACCGGCATTATAGGCGCAAAACCGCACACCCATCACGTCGCGCTCCTCGTGGAAATTGATGGTCTCGATCTTCTCCATGGAGGCCTCTAGATCGGCTTCGGTGTAAAGCATTTGTTCGGTGGATATGTTGCTGATCTTGATGTAATCGCTCAGCATCCACCGGTAGATGGCTTTGGTGGCGTGGGTCATGAAGCAGCGGCCCTTGAAGCTGGTCTTCATCAGGAACCAGGGCAAGGCGCCGCAGTGATCCAGATGGAAACTGCATAACAGAAGGATAAACCATTTAAATATATAAATGCATCAAAAATCCACGCAATACCCACTGTGAAATAAACAGCAGATCGATTTCATCCGCTTCTATTAGATCCACGTAGGGCAGGGCATCCATGCCGGACAATCCCGGGTGAATTCCGCAGTCCAGCATGATCTTCTTGCCCTTGAACTCCAACATGATGCAGGAGCGCCCTACCTCCTGGCCAGCACCTCTGAAATGGGGCACATTTTCCGGATTAGTATTTGGTTGTTTTCCTAACTGAATTTCAGTATTTCTTACAGCGGCTTAATCTGCAGCAGATCGCTTTCCTCATCGGGCACACGTGCATCACCTGTTGCCTGCGTCATGATGATTAAATGAGTGTAATAAATACCTAAACAAACTTTACAAATCAAATCGCCGGCAACAAAACGCTGTGTATGGCAGAGTGACCAGAGTTGGCTACTAGTTAAGGACTGTTCACACCGGGGTCGAAACAGTAGGTAACTAGCAGAAAATATTACTTCGAATTAAAATGAACAAACATATTTCAAACATAAATATCTTTGTTTTCTTAACAGTAGCATTATTAAGAGCTTACGATTTGATGGATTTGTATGTAATTATGTTTGGAACGAAACAGTGTAAAAAATCCGCAGTTACAATTTAAAAAGCCGTTTTATCTTGGATAAACTGACATCGTTGTCTAATTCGCCCCGCCCAATCTGGTCACACTGATTGCCACACGAAAGTCGAACAAATAAAGGAAAACTATTTTGGACAAATGGGAGGATCTAGCTACGATGGTAAGCTATAGGTGTACCTGGTAAACTCATCCTTGACTAATCCCGTCCCCCGATCCCCCACACAGTGCTGCGGAAGCAGGCGAGGAGTCTGGAGAACGAAATCGACCTAAAGCTGGTGGCATTCAGCAAAATCGGAGCAGGCAGCGGAGGAGGCGGCAGTGGAGCCCTAGGGGGCGTGGACACATCACCGCTCCTGGGCGAGCACGTCTTCGATTCGCTGTCGGAGGAGATCGAGCAGATGCTGGAGAAGGTGTGACATGTCATTAGTCATAGGGTGGAGATGGGGTCAAACCCAAAGCAAATATCTTGATTCAGTTACCCACACAATTTAATTAACCATTTATACATAGTACCCGGCAGAACCATAAACAAAGACTAATTTCCCTCTATATTTCCATAGTTCTCAGATTAAGACTAAAGTTGAATAGCCTGGTTCTACCGTACAGCAAATTGCCACGAATCTTACATTCAAATTATTGTTTTCGTAAAATGTATATTTAATTCAAGCAATTCCATAAAGCTTTTGCTCGGTTCTTCCTCATCAAGATTTGTACGTAAATCGTGTGTATTTCCCGCAACTTTTGATATTTTGATTAATGACCCATTATTTTATCTCATCCTTAAACTATTTTACCATCTTGATTGTGAGAAAAAAAATTAAGTTAAAATATTGCCAATTACATCGTATTTTGTTTGTTTGTTGATTAAATTGACAACATTACATAATTTAATAGATAACAGCAATGATAAATATTTACGGCATAGATACAAACTACAGAAAATTATGAATCATCTACCGAACTATATGATCCGCAGAAAAAAGGGTTATAGTCAGCTCCAAACTTTTTAAAAATAAATGATAAAAATATTAAGAGATTTGACAAATCTTAAAATCAAAAATAGTAAATATAAGTCTCCTTATAAATATATTAATTAGTGTGCTAGAAAGTATCTTTTATTTGGAATTTTAAATAAGATTACAAAGATCCCTTCATCGATTATTTTAATTTCAGTTATCCTCGCTAAACGAGTCCATGTCGGACCTGCCCGCCTCGGGAGCTGCCGCCATGCACACGCTGCAGAGGCATCGAGAGATCCTGCAGGGCTACAGGCAGGAGTTTAACAAGATCTGCGCCAACCACACGATGCGCATCGAGCGCGAGGAGCTGCTCCGTGGCTCTGGGTTGGCCACCAGCTCCGGCAGTCCCTCCATCTCGGGCCTGAGCCGGCGGGAAATGTACCTGAAGGAGAGCGGCCACCTGAGCAGCGCCAGTCACCTGGTGAACGACCAGATCAACATCGCCATCGAGACGCGTGACCATCTGCACGCCCAGCGACAGGCCTTCAAGCGGCTGCAGACCCGCTTTAACGACATCTCCAATCGATTCCCTCTCATATCCAGGTTAGAATGAAAGATATTGTATATGGTATATAAAATAATCTTCCTAAAATTCCATGCATATCCGCTTATACTATTAAATATAGTGTATTTTTTATATAAGTCATATAGATTGGGGTTTCTGTATAGTCCAACGCTTGAGAAATCATCCAGTCTTTCAGTAGATTGTTGATTCTGTAGTATATATAGTATTATTATAGAGTTTTTCCCCCAAAACCATACACATTTATTTTGTAAAGACCGAACTGCTTTTGTTATTTATCAAGTTGAGTTTATCTTTATTAACGACTCTTCCTTTTACGAGTGTATACATATATAAATATTAAATAACCCATTGTGATGCTTGCTATTAAGACTTTTGCTAAGAATGACAAATGCAATATCGAATATATTACCGATTATTAATAATGAAACTTTTTTGTATTTTGCAGTCTCATTCAGCGCATCAATATCAAAAAACGACGCGATTCGCTGATCCTGGGGGCAGTGATCGGCTTCTGTGTGATCTTGCTGCTGCTCTATGCCTTCAACTAGCGCCTTGCCGTTCCCGATTGGCCAAAGATAGAGCTGGGATTCAACTCCATTACAACTCCTTTACTGCAATTTTCGTTTGTTTTCCCCGACGGTATATGTGTATGATTAACTTGTGATAGCAATAAAAATTACTATTTAAGACGAGCCCAGCAGCCAATGAACTTAGTATCAGGCAGTAATAAATAGTTTTAGACAGACAAAGCAGACAACAAAAAGAAAAAAAACCAAGAAGCAACTATACAAATATATATATTTTAAGTTTTGTCCAACAATCTTAAGCATACAGAGATGGCTGAGAATCCCCCCGAGGCGATACCGCCAGAAAATCCTGTTGAGGAGGCTCCAGTTGCAGAGGAGGCTCCAGCTGCAGAGCAGGCTACAGCTGCAGAGGAGGTATCTGAAGTGGTGACCACTGTTGTTGAGGAGGCAGCAGAAATCCAAGGTGAGGGTGATGAAGCGGAGCCCACTGGGGAAATAGAAGGGGGAGAAGGGAATCGGCGGAGCCGACCGTCGATGGTGAAGTCCCAAGGGAAGGGGAGCCACCACTGGCCAAGCCCAAGGGTCCCATATCCGCCGAGGATCGAAAGCGCGAAAAGCTCCTTAAAGTGAAGAAAATGCTCGAAAAGGACAAGGCAGAAAAAGCGGAGTTAACACCGGCTACTCCGGCAGTGCCCGTGAAACTCGAAGAGGAGGAGCACGATGATGAGCCGAAGGAGGATTTCCAAAGAGATTCCGTTCAGGCGTACCAATCGTTGGAGTCCGGTGGCGAAGAGTCCGCTGATGACTTCGAAGATATAAAGCTCATCCTCAATGAAAGGGTACCAACGCCGGACGAGGAGTTGGAGCTTATGGAGGAGGATATGGATTTGGATTCTGATGCCAGCGTGGAAACGCCTCGACCAAGGTTGGGGATGTCCTTGAAGGGCGAGTTTCTCCGCGAGTTCGAAAGCTTGCCCAGCATCTCGGACCTATCACTCGATCCGGAGCCAGAACCGGAACCCGAACCCGAGCCAGAAGTCCAGAAGATATCCTATTCCTCGCCAGACGCCGGAAACTTTGTGGGGGGTACGGAAAATCCGGAAGAGGACGAGTCGAAATCCTCGACTTCCGAACGGGATGCCAGCACTGCCGCAGTAACGGTGGACGGGTCCGATGAAGACAGCGGCTCGGTAATGATGGACGACCTGCCCGAAGAGCAGGGTACGGGGCCGAAGCAAGTAGTCATTGGTGAGGAGGTGGACACCATGGCCATGTTCACCGTGGCCGTGGAAGCGGAGATCGATGTCCAGCCGGAAGTGGCGGTCCCGGTCGAGGAGCCCTTCTGGTATCGCCTCACTGCCGATTTCCTGGAGAACCTCATCTCCACCGTGGTGGCCAATGCCGAGAACAACGAGAAGAACAAGGAGCTAAAGCTGGACAAGGGTAAGATGCTGGTGGAGTTGCAACGCCTGGTGGACGAGTACAACCTGGAGAGGCACCACAACTTGATGCTGAACAATGTCGTCTGCGACTACTTCCGACGCATTCGCAAGTTCAACAATTTTCAGGTGCTGCCGCCAGAGGATGCTTATCAGGAGTTCATGCGCTACAGGAACGCCCTCAACGTGGTCGACAGCCTGGTGGAACGGGTGAAGTTGATCAAGATCAAGTACGGACATAGCACATCCCGCGCGATGATGGAGCTCAACTCGCTGGCCGTGCTCGCATTCAATGAGGAGCAGATCCTGGAGGGATTCATGCGGAAGACCCTCATCCACCGGGACATGGATCGGCTGAAGCGCGCCCTGGACAACGATCTCAGGCGCATGCAGGACCTCCGCAACCAGATCAGCCAGATGCGCTACGAGCTCAACCTCAACCTCCATAATCTGGCATTTACAGATGAGGTGGGTATACAAATAATTTAGGGCTTAGAAACAATTTACAGGTTATTTACAGAGTTATTTTAAATAGAAATACAGTATAGTTAACTTTTTAAAGTAATGTTGTATTCCATCGGAAAACTAATATAATAACTTGCTTAGCAAAGAAATAAGAGATAAGCGATAGAGTAATAATCATGTTTGTTATATCATATCCAGACAATAATTTGAATGCTTCAACGAAAAGAAAAATCATTTGTTTATCTTCCACAGAAAGTAACTAATTTTGAGAGGGTCACCGACACATTGACAATTTCTCAAATGCTGTGCGCCAACGAATCCATTATTCAATTGGGCAAACAATTAGAGGGTGAGTTTTGTGGTCTATATATTTACATATATGGAGGTACACTTAAAAGCGTATTGTACATAACGTTTTTATTTAAACATATATAGAAATAGAATTAAAAACAGTATTTAACCAAATACGCCAATAAAGATAATTAATTAAAATACAAAATGGGAAAATAAGGTCACCGTTAAATTAGTAACTATTATCCAATAAAATAGATGGTATAGTTTATCAGTTAAAGGGAAAGTTTTAACTTATCATTCCGCAGAAAAGTGCAAGGATGTGGCGGTCATGCAGTCTAACTACAAGAAGTCGATGATCGAGGAGACGTGCATCAGGGAGAAGCGGGACATGATCGCCTATATGCTGCAGAAGGCCAAGCACGAGTTCGCGGATCGGTTTGAGCGGCGGAACCGGCTGCGCAAGGAGCTGACCCGTCTCCAGTTGGAGCACGCCAAGCTGAAGTCCCAGCGGACCAAGCTGGAGGCCAAGGGCGGGCTGCTATTCAAGGTGGGCCTGATGTACGACTTCGACAAGTGCATGGCCGACATCGAGGCTCGGCGCAGCCACATCCAGGCCATGAAGGTGAACTGTTTCGAGCTGACCAAACACATTTACAATTTGGAGCACGAGAAGCGCGTATCCAGTATGGCGGTACAAAATCTTACTTGATTACGCTCCATTTGTAATTTTCTATTTTCACTAATATACAAAAATAAATTTGTGTGCATCTTATATAATTATTGCGCATTGTTCCTTGGTGGTAACAGTAACACTGTGCAACATTTTGAATAAATAGTTAATGGGAATTGTTGATGTTATAATTACCTCCTTTATCCAATCACAATCATTTTTTTTTTGGAAAGCGTTTTACACTTATTTTTATAATAATAATAATTATTTGTATAATTTGATTATTAATTGTTAAAATTAAAAGTAAAGTTAAAAATTTTCTAAATTTATAAAAGATGTTACATTCGCTTAAAAAATGGCGATGATCATAAATTAATTGTTCATGAAAAAAAATATGATGGGTAATACCCAATTTTTTATTTGTAAACTAAATGAAGCGTGGTTTTCCTTTGTTGGAAAAATAATATAAATAAATTTATCAAAGGGACTTCCCCGCCAATAACAGTTTTCATTGACAACAATTTCTAGTATTTTTCTGCCTATCGATATCGAATTGAAATCCAGCCCTGGAAAACAGCTGTTCGGCGATGTGATAATAATTTCTGTTTTTTACCCAACACGTTTGATTTGTAGCAAAATCCGCTTTTCTGAATTGGAATTCCGTTAGAATAGCCTTGGCAGAGATGTCTGTGCTGCCCAACGCCGGGAACAATGAGTCGGCGGCGCCCAGGATGTTCGGAGATGCGGATCTGGACAGGATGGCCCTGCAATACGTGGGCAACATGCAGCACTACCGCGAGAACATCGTAATCCCCAAGAGCAACGGCCCGGTGAAGATCAAGACCAACGAGGAGAAGTATATCGAGACGGCGGTGGAGAGCTGCGGATTCAAGTGCGCCATGGCCTGTGTTATGGGTGGGTTTACATATTTCTTGATCCCTTAAAAGCACATTCAGTATCAGTTCCACTTTACCCACTTCACAATAGATTCTTTCAAAACATTGGTATTTTCATTTTTTCGCTTCTGTTTTTTTTTTTAAATATCAATTTAAACTGTATTTCAGAATTGTTGTTTATGTGTAAAATATTTGTTTTTATATTGGCTTAAACCTAACCATTATTTCCAATATATTAAACTTTGGCTGTTTTTTTGTTGTCAAGTAAGATATTTAATTAAAAATTAAAAACTATCACATCTAAATCTAAAAATCTATATTTTTATAAGACGAAAAAAAACAAAATGTGGCTAGGTAGTTTTCAGTTACACAAGGATCATTTTATAGGCTACCTATAAACACATTCTACAAATTTTCTTTTAAATAATTTATATTAAAAAAAAAGTACCATTAATTAAACAATGATCGAAGGATACTTGTAATTATACTCCCATTAAATATATATAATATTTAACTTTAACTTGCATTATCGTATATGTTTATTTGCTTTGTATATTGCCTAATTAAAAATAATATAAATTTTGTAAAAACTTGATAATTCTAAATTAACAATAAATCAAATATTCCTTGCAGGCTATGGTTTGGGAGCAGCATTGGGTTTGTTCAGCGCCTCCGTAAATCCCAGCATGGCCGATCCCTTTGCGAATGAGAAGAAGCAGACGGCCCGGGAGGTATTCCGTGAAATGCGGGCCACCACCCACTCCTATGCGAAGAATTTCGCGTTGATTGGATGTGTATTCTCCGCCGTAGAGTGCACCATCGAGAGTGTGAGTCCACCTGCTTACATTAATTTGAGAACAATGTTTTTAATTCAGTTATTCCTTTCTGATTCTGTAGCATCGGGGAGTGACGGACTGGAAGAATGGCACCTACGCCGGAGGCATCACCGGCGGACTGATTGGCCTGCGGGCTGGCATCAAGGCGGGCGTCATCGGCGGCCTGGGATTCGCTGCCTTCTCCACGGCCATCGACTACTATATGCATTCTAGATAAGCTCAGTTTTTCGGTTACCTTGTTTCGTATAAATATTTGTTTCTAACCACTCAATTCTTGTTTGTAATTACCGCCAAGGAAATTACTTCGGCACGACTTGTGGACTTGAGTTGGCTCCCATTTCCGGTTGACATTTGGAGAAGTGCAGCTGGCAGCCATTAATATTGCCCCCATCAAAAAGCACTGTGTGGCATAAACAATGTGCCACAGTCTCGGTTTCAAATTCGGCCAGTGAGCCCCCGACCGGTTTTCTTTTCGGGGGGAGCACTGTGTCCATTTTGTGGGAACGGGAACGGGAATCTCGATCCAGCAGCAAATTTCCAGTTTCAGCATTTGTTCAGTGCTCAGTTCGATTCGAGCGGCAGGCAGGTAGAGATCGTTCGCTGGTTCTTCTTCGCAGGGTTTCGGTTTCGGTTTCCGCTTTCGGTTTCAGCCTTCGCGCGTGTTTTCTGAGACGAGGATGAGCATCATTCCCCAAGCAGCTGCAAAAGTGCAACAGCAGCAACATTAGCAGTAACCGCAGCAACACAAACGGGTTTCATTTGCACTCGTTGCGCATTTGTTTTTATTGTGTGTGCGGTTGGGTCGCGTGCAGTTCACGGAATATGCAAAAAAGGCTTAATCATTAAATTAAACACAGCCTAACGACCAAAAAGCACATGGAACTCTGCCACGGATGTACTCCCTCCAAGTCCTCCTACCCCTGCGGCTTGTTAAAAGAAAACCAATTGGAGGAGAGGCGAAAGAGATTAAATCTCTTGAGAGAACGTCTACAGTAGACATCGGATAAGGAGTTTTGCAAGAAAAATATTTTCTTCAGCCACTTTTGTTTTATTTTAAAGGTGTAAAATGCAATTTTTCATAGAATAAATTGGAATCAAACTTAAATGTTTAGTTTCAGTATTTAAATATTCATTCAGACATTTGAAATGGAGAGGTTTTCTTAGTTATTTTTTTTTCCTATGTTGTAGATTACTGTTAATAAAATGTAAATGTATTATTTTCTCTTCCATTACTTGAGGCTGTGTGCCTTTAAACTTTGTGCTAGTTTTTTTGCTGTCAAACTTCATAGTTTAATATGCCCCAAAAACCATTTTGTTAGGGCGGTACAGTGTGACAAAAATGTATAAACACTTTGCTTATAATACAAATTTTTAATTGACTTTGTAAGTATAATAGAAAAGTTTACTTCTTAGAGAAATATCAGGGATCAAGCATGATTACATTTCTTTATTTTTAATAAACAGTCAAGTAAATGTTATTACCCCTAAACAAATCTGTAAAAAAATGTTTTTTAGAAATCTTTAGACAGAATCTTTAAAAACTCGAATTTTTACCAATTCGGTTTCAAACTCTGTGAATAAACACCAGATTATTCTTCTAGATTTCATTTACTGGTTGCTTTAAATTAAATGAATTTAAATTCAAATTTAAATTTAAATTCCACTGTTCTTGCCTCCAATACGATCGTGACTCACAAGTGTGTCTGGTTGACTTTCGTCGTCTCAGTTCGTCCGTCCTTTTGTGCGATCTGCCGCAGTGTTTTGTTTATGCAACCAATTCCAGAGCCACAAACATTTCTTGTTTGCCTTTCTCATCGACGGCAGCTGCGAACAGCTCAATTCTCAATTCCCCATTATTTGCTCTCGATTCTTGATTCTCGACTCCAGCCGTCAGCAAGTTCAATGAAACCAAGTGACACTTGCAATTGCGATCGCATCTAATTGGCTCTTTGGCCAGTGAATCAAAAGTGGGTTTAAGACACAGCCCCACAGTTGAGTCAACGGGTGGAATGGTCTGGTCCGTTTTTTGGGCTCCGACGCCATTTGTTGCCACATCGAGAGACAAAGTGTTATCTTATCTCAGAATAATCTACTCGAAGCTAAAAATACAGTCTAACGTCTATAAACGGAAATCTTTACTCACGTTTTAATCACTGGATGTATAAAAAATTTTTTGTATTTAGATTAGTGTTTGAAATTTCGTCGTCATTTTGTGTCATTTTTAAAAATTGTATTCAAATTAATAATTTTAAAATTTTAATTTGCACTAGTGTATACTTTAAAATCAATAGTCTTAAAAAATATTTTACTTGCATTACCCATTAAGTTGGTGTTAGCCTGAGGAAATTATATTACAAAAAAATGTTAATGTTTAAATAGGATCACTGAAATTTCAGTCATGGGATGTTAGACTGTATATATTTTGTATATTTGGAGAGCGATTGCACTTTAACCAAATTGGGTTTGGCTTGAAAGAAATTAGCTGGCCATGAAAGCAAGAAAAGCAACGTAAACGACCTTGCAAAGAGGTAGATGGAAAGAAAGGGGTTGGGAGAGTCCAAAGACAGAAGACCCCAGTCGATGACTCAATTAGAATTCACTTTTACTTAAATGATCGTTCAGATAAACACTTCCGAGAGAATCGGAGAACTAAGACGGAACCCGAGAGTTACAGAGAATCGAAGAGAGGCTCTCTTTCTCTCTCCGATGTCGTCTAATCAAAACAAATAATGCCAACAGTCCATGGCGGCTTGAATCATTAATTTAGTTCTATATTCCGAGGAAAAGCAGCCGGATCGCTCAGTGCTGCGGAACAATTTTTTAAAAACAATAACAAGGAAAAATAAAAACCAAGCACGAGAAGTTGATTTTAAACAAGATTAGTTACTAAAACAATTTTATCAAGGCTAAATAGAGTGAACTCCAAAACCAAAAACCGAAGGCTGTTCCATAATGAAGCAAAAATTTCTGTTATTGGTGAGTAAATATTTCACCTTTTACAAAACAATATCGTTTATCTTATCGCACATACTTTTGGGTCAGATAGTGGGATCAGAGAGTACTTTCAATGGAGCTGTTCCCTGAAAGTGTTAAAATGCGGGGGGACCTTTTTATGAAGCACATTGATTCCCCCTTCCGGACACCCAATTCAGCCAGAAATGTACAGGATGTCATAGGTTATCAAACGTAACATGAGTCAATCAAATTAGTCACGATTGTTTTCCATAGAGAATTCCAAATAATCACCCTCTAGTTTTGAGTTTTGTGATACATGAGAGAAAAACTTTAAGTATTAACCTTCAGTTTTGAGTTTTCCTTCAGCGAAGCAAGTTGGAAATGTTTTCTCAAAAATCTCAATATATTACAAAACTAATAAGAAAAAAATGAGGAAGAGTGCAGAACGTTGGAGAAAAATGGCCGAAATCGCATATTCCTTTTGTTTGATTGCCAAAGCCGAGGATATTATACTTGATTTGCTGATGATTAGGGTCCTTGAAGAGGAACAATTTTTAAGGATTACAGAAGCCAACCACTATTAGATGCCTCTATAAAAGATATGGACAAACGAAATAATATTCTCATTGTTATCTTACTAGATTTCATCTATTTCAAAATACCTTAAAGTGAAATATATTGTTATTGTTTTGGCGACGTTTGTATTAAACCTACCGATCACGACATCAAGATACTTTACTTCGTTTTTTTTGTGTAATGATTGATTTTTATAAAATGCATTTAGTTTAAGGTTGAGTAAATAATCTTGTTTACTTTAACCCTGCCATACATTTTAACTTCGTTAGAATGTATGCAATCAATTAAATGTATATAGGTTATTAGCAAATTAGTTTGCCGATAAGGTTTCGACTCGGATTTTTCTTCGAAGAAAAGAAGATCTATTTAAAATTCTGGACAAAAAAATCTCGGCTTTCAGACACCTTGATTTCAACCATTCAATTTGATACATGTCGCCAACCTTACTGGTATTTAAAAGTACTTTCGTCTGTCTGAACACTTGTATTTAGGTATAATCGTGACATACGAGAATCAGCTGAAAATCAACAGCAGATATACAATACCCCGTCCCATGGTCACTGAAATGAAAACTGTAGACAAATTCTCAAGGGACAACGACACGTGCAAATTACTCAAGTTGCTTTTCCGAGAAAAGTTATAATCTCAGTAGCTAATCAGCACCCTTAAATGTCTTTCTCTTTTATCATTTTACAAAATATATACATAGATTTCAGAATTATGAATCGGTCAAAAGCCTGTCCTATATCAAATTAATCACCTAATAATTTCAGAAAACAATACTTATTGATTATATATTTATAGTAAAAAGCTTATACAATAATCATATGTAGTTTATAATAATTAAGAACTTTTGTATAGCTGTGGTTTTATATCGTAAATATAAAGGAATGCATTTGTAATCATTACAACAGATGTTAATAGAAACAGAAAGCATCTGTATACATATACAGAAAAATATTTTGATTTGGCTTCTCGGAACTAAATATTTAAAATAATGGTTTACTTTATATGCCTATGTATGTTAAATTTACTTTGTGCTTATATAATTTATATATTAAAGACTAAGTTATATTAACAATTTTTTTTTCAGTTCCTTGCGATAACAGTGCTGCTCCTGGCCACTGGAGTTCAGGGTCAGCACGAAGACATTCCTTACCAACCAGTGACCAATATCTGCCAGACTTGTACATGCGGCTCCAGCCAGGTTAACAATCGGACAAACTTTAACTTGGACTGCGCGCTGCAAAAGTTCGAGCACATCCTGGCCAGATGGCCAGCGGAGTTTGGTAGCCAGGCGATAGCGACTGTAGCTTCTACGGAGATTGTGGCCACGTTCTCGGGCAACAATATCAAGTTGCTCCAACAGCTGCCGGCCACAAATGCCAGCTTGACATTCTCCTGCCGGCACTGTGGTATCCAGGATCTGCAGAGTCCTCTCTTCATGGACGTCCCGAATGTGGAGGCCCTCTACCTCAGCTGGAATGAGCTATCCGATGACGCCCTAGTTCCGGATCTCTTCAGAGGTCCTTTTCGGAACACTCGCTACGAACCTATTGGTTTGCGTGATCTGGACTTGAGTCACAACAAAATTGCTCGACTGGATCGTCGACTCTTCGAGCATACTCCACATTTGACCTCGTTGAATTTGGCCTACAATAAACTGACTCCCCTGGATGAAGCCACCACAGCGGCCGTGGCATCAGTAGTCACTCTGGAGCGCCTGGATCTCTCCCACAATGGCTTGAAGTCTCTGCCAGCGGGTCTTTTTCTAAAGTTGAAAAACCTCCGTACCCTGGATGTATCCGGAAATGAGTTTACTGGGATCCCAGCAAGTTTTCAGCAGTTGGGCAACTCGTTGGTTCAACTGAATCTGGCTGAAAATCCCTTTCCCAGCTTGAAGGAGAATAGTTTCCAGGGCTTGGTTTCCTTGAAACGTCTGAACATCAGTGGCATGCCATCTCTGCGAAGTCTAGAAAAGGGAGCCCTCAGATTGCCTGCCTTGGAGCAGTTAGATTGCTCCAGAAATTCCAAGCTAGAGCGCTTTGAGTTGGCGGATCTGCTAGAAAGTCGACATTTATTGGAGTTGGATTTGTCCAGGAATGCATTAAGCGGTTTGGTTTTGAATATCACCAGCTCTGGCAGCAGCAATTCTACTAATGCCACCGGCAATACTGAGCCCTGGTCACGTCTTCGCCGCTTGAACATTGTCGGAAATCCTTGGAATTGCAACTGCGATCTCTTCAAAACCCTAGAGACATTAGGGATCGCGCACATCGAACGGGAAACAGATGGAACAGAGGCACGCTGTGAAACCCCATATCTGCTGGCTGGATCGCCGCTTTCCAATTTGACAGCCGAACGGATCTGCAAGATGGTGATACCAAAGAAGTATCGTGAGGTGGACGAGGAGCCACCGCGATTCCTGCGACGTCGCTATATCATACTCACCGCCATCATAGCCAGTGTGGTGCTGGTGATCGGCCTGGTGATCGGATTCGTTGTGGTTTGTGTGCGCCGACGGCTGAAGGGCAGCGATTACGGGATACAGCCCATCCGGTACACCAGCGTAAGGGGTAGCAATCTGTCGCAAATCTCGCAGCTGCAGCCCGCCTCGGTGGCCAGTAAATTCAAGAATGTCCATGCCGAGAGCAGCAGTGGGGTAACCACGGGTGCTGCCAATGCCTAAACACGGTATAAAAATCCTAATTCGGTTCCAATTCCGAGCTAGCTGCACAAGTTTCGAGCCAAAGATGTCCACGACAGTGTTGCGAACCCAACCGAAAAAGACTTCCTGTGCGTGCTATCCTGTATATAAGTGTCCCCTGTATTAGTTCCCACCATTGAGCTAATCCTCCTAATCCTAACCCCAGTCCCCGAAACTAACCCTTTAGTATTTAGTGCTGCCATCGATGTTTGTATTGTACTTAAGTTTCGAACATTAGTGTGTAATAAAACATTTTTAAAATACATTTCAAAGTATATACCATTGTGTATGGGTGAAGATGATTGTCTGAAAGATATGTGGGTATTTGAAAGTTGATTTAAGGCAAGCACATTAATTTTTTTTATAATTTTTATTGGTCTATATTTTTGTGTAAGGACTGAACAGTGAAATAAAGATTATATGCTTATGGGAAATTCATTTACAGATTGAAAAAAAAAATTAACTTTAAAGTTTAAGAATAACTTTCACATCGTTTCTGAAAATAAAATACATATGTTTTTAAAAGGTTTTAAATTGGTTTATGAATGCTTTTATAAAGTTTAAGTAAGAAAATTCATATTTGACAAAATGTCAAAAAAAAAAAAATATATATCAAAAGGACCGTGCCTTTTCATAACTTAGTCTCACATGTGCAATTTCTTGCTTTGTCTACTTAAACCCTTTATTTTTTGCTTGCAACTTTATCGAGTTTTAAAAATAGCTAGGAAACAAACAGAGAAACAACCGAAAGGCAGGATATGGTGTTCAGGGTGAAGTGGCGTCGCTTGGCGCGCGGTTTATCTCCCCGGTTGGGTCGATAAATGATAAAAGCTTAAACAGATAATACCCGGAGCAGCGGAGATAGCAGGCATGTGACCAACGAAAAGAGAAGCCAATCCTTCTAGCATTCACTTTCCAGCAGCTCTTCCTCGGCGGCGGCCACAGGTGGTGGTGGTAACTTAAACAGGTTGATGGCCTGCTTTTGGGCTAGAAATTGGCGCATTTCGGCAAAGTTATCCCGCTCCTTGTGCTGTTTGCTGCGTCGATTGAAGGCCTCCTCATCGGCAGAGTCCGAATCTGAGTTGGAGGAGGAATCGCGGGTGGGAGATATATTTTCATCCTTTAGACGATTGTCCTCCTGCTGCCGCTCCATATTTTCGATTTTGTCAAAGAGCTCATCTACATTTATGCCCTTGGAGGCCAGGACTTCCCGCTCCTTTTCCAACATCACCTGCCTAATGGGATCGATGCGATCCTTGAGCTGCTTGAGGACGGGCTTAAATCTGCCCTTGGTAATGCGCTTCTCGAAGTTAAGCAGTTCCTTTTCCGGCGAGGGAAATGGAGCATTCTGCTCTGCTTCAAACTGATGCTCCTCGTTTTCATCGTACATGTAGGCATAGAAGTCATCCTTCTGCTGGGGTGCATCCACATTCTGCGAGAACTCCACCCTCAGAATGCTCTCGGGGAACTCATCATCTAGATGATCTTGCTTGGGTTTGGGCAAATCCCCCTCCAAGTCCAGCTGACTGTGCAGGAACTTGTTGTAAACCAGCATTAAGCGCTGGAAATCATCACAACAAATGGCCAAAGCATTTTCGATTCCATGCATATTATTGGCCACTGCGACCAGTTCTTTGGAGTTGTTCCTGTTCGCCGCCTCCGTAGCAGTGAGTTGTTGAAGGGTCACGTCCAGAGCTTGGCATTCTCCGGCAACGGCCACCATGCAGGCGCTCAGTTTCAGCGAGGAGTGCTGCAGCACAGCGATTGGTCCACTCCGCTGCTGCTCAGTTTTACTGGCATTCAACTCGGCGAGTTCCATTTGCTTCCTGTTCTGCATGGCCAACGCCAGATTGCTGAAGTGCTGCTCCTCCTCCTGCACCAACTGCCGCACCAGGCAGTCGATCTTCACGAGATCCTCGCTCAGCTGGGAGATCGACGGACGTGTGGTAATGGTGAGGGCCAGCCGGAGCAGATACTGTGACTGCACATAGGCGAAGATATTGTGAAAGTCCTAAAAAGAGATTCAGTTTCGTTATATGGAATCGGATGCCGTTTGCATAGTTTTTATGGTATACTAAAGGCTTAATCATAATTAAAGGTGTTAATGGTTTTATATATTAGATTAAAAAAATCAATCAAGTTACAGAAAATCTGCTGGTTTTCGAATGTATCTCAATTATCTGTTGTTTACATGGAATTACGATAGTAATAAAAGGATTACCGCATTCAGTTATAGTAGTGATTAATAACTGCAAAGGTGTTATATGATTTTTGGTTATCATTTAAGTGTGTCATTAACGATTGACAATAGCACTGTGAATAACCAAAGTGGTTTCAGGTACTTGTAATAATAACCGATAAATCGAATACAAGAAACTAATTTAATAAGTCAATGTATAAACGTTGAACTTAGTTATAAAAAGCTAAACCTAAACTGCAAAATGTACCATAATTTGTATGTACCTTTATGTGCTTGGGACTGTAGTCCGTGACGTTGTTCTTGAAGTACTCGCACTCTCGCAGTTCCTCCATGGGCGCATAGTAAGCTCCATATTTTGCCGGCAGCAGATAGTCCGTCTCCAGTTTGCGGGTGGCATCATAAAGAATCTCGGTTACTTCCTTGGCGGCCGTTATGCAATCCCAAGCACGCTCAATCTGACGTGATCTGCAGGTGATTATGATTAAAGAAGTAAATTTTTCTACAATTAGATCTGTTAAGTTACTCTATCAGTTCGGCCTGCTTCATGATGATTATCTCCTGAAAGTATGTCATATTGCGCCGGATGCAGTTGCCGAATTCATCGATCGTTTTGACCAGTTGCTCCAACTTTCGCTCCACGATTTTATTCCGGCAAACGAAGACGCTTTTCACGGCGCACAAGGCAGCAAAGGTGCCGGTGATCAGGATGGATGGAACCATCGTATACCGGATGCTCCTGGGGGTTATCAGGTGCTCCAGCAGAGTGCCTCCCAATATCAGGCAGGCGTTCCTCGTGGTCAGCAGCTGCCGCCCGGGATTGGAGGATGCCTGCAGCTCCTGCATGCATTGCTCCAGTGCCTCTACATGGTCCACCAGCAGGCGCTTGGAGAATAGAATCTTCTGTAGCAACCGATCCTGGATTACCTGGTTTGTTATGCATTATACGTTAGTTAATGGGTTTTATTTATAGCCTCGCTTTTTCGACACGGCACTCACCTGTTTCTGCTTCAAGTCATCCGCCAATTGGGGTCGCCCAAATCGTTGCTGCAATGGAATTTGAATGCATTATGTGGAGATCACCAGGTATTCCTCATATATTTATACTACACACCTTGAGCTCTTGCATATTTCACCTTTTGTGGTTTTTTTGTTGTTAAAATGCATGGGAGCAAGAATTAGAGGTGGAAGACCATCGATATCCACATCGATGTTACGATGTTTTCAGAACATCGGTTCCATCTCCAACGAGTGCTGAAAATCTCACTCCATCTCTTGGGCACTGTTAACGAATTCACTACAGTTCTGTTATGTTCCACTCCTGTTATAGCAATACATAATTCACTTTGTTTATAGCACTGTACAAATATTTTCCAATCTACCAAAATATATGGAGTACAAATTAAGACAATTTAAAAATATTGCTAACTTATTTAATAGTTAACTAAACTATAAAAGCATTATAAAGTTCTTTCTGTCATAATTATCAATAGTTATTAACAGTAATTTAAAATTTTTAAACTCAGTCCTATACAGTTACATATACTTAAAATATTTTTTTATTTTCAGTATATACAATTTTTTTTTTTCCACATTAGTTATCGCAGTAAAAATTAATGCGTGCTAAAACCAATTGTATTAAAAATTTTTGAAATTAAGTCCACCTACATTATCGGTGCCAACAGTCGATGGTAACCGCTCTATTATCGATTTTTGAAACCAGTTTAGTCGATTTTCAAACAATTTAAAAAGTTTTGATATCCATATTAACAAACCCTAAACAAAATTTGAAAAATATGGAGCTTAACATTTTTAATGTGTTAACTACTTTTGCACGTAGACTAATATTTTCCCCAAATAAAACATTGATATTTTGAGGTATTTTTATTATATTTTTATTTGTAGATCCTTAAAGTAGTTTGTGGTGTTCAAGATTACATACAATTTGTTTACATATCTATTAGATCAATATCCCATTTACATAGATTATACATCATACAAAATTGTTCGCCGCGGGCTAATGACATTCCATTTTTTTTTCATTTTTTGTAATAATCTATCGGGCTGCGAACAGGGGCTAGTGGGTGGTGGATAGTGGGTGGTTGGTTAGGCGCGATACAAATTTTGCTATATGCTTAGACGACAGATGTGCGACATTATAAAATAAATAACATGGTTACTGCTCGCCGCCCTTGCCGAATATCTGCGATGGCCACTCCTCCTTTGGTTTTTCGGGGGTAGGCGGAATGGATCTACATCTTGTAGGTGGCGGGCACTGAGCGCGGGTAGTCCAGATCGTACATCTGGGCCTTGATGAAGGCCAGCTTGTTAGACGGCTCCGGACGGACGGTGGCCAATCCATTCTTATACGCATACTCCACGATCTTTTCGGCGATAGCCACCGAGCAGCTGACAATGGTGTCTAGTGGTGGATACAAACTGCCCCTGGCCAGGTCATCCTTGGACACCAGCTCCGCCAAACGCTCTGCAGCGACCAAGAAGACCTCCTCGGGAATGGTCAGCATGCCGGCGCACAGAACACCCAGTGCGACACCAGGGAAAATGTACGAGTTGTTTCCCTGACCCGGATAGTACTTCTTGTTGTTGTACGTCACCGGGGCAAAGGGTGATCCACTGGCGAAGATGCAGCGACCCTTGGTGTGGGTGTACGCCTCCTCGGCGGTGCACTCCGCCTTGCTGGTCGGATTGGACAGCGCAAAGATGATCGGTGTCTCATTGATGTCGGCCATCAGCTCGAGGATCTCCTGGTTGAAGGCTCCGCCCTGGGCAGCAGCTCCAATCAGGACATTGGGGCGCACCTTGCGCACCGCCTCCGACAAAGTATCGATGGGTTCGTGCAGCTGGGCGAAGTGCAACTTGTGTTCGGTGAGTCCACCCTTTGGGCGATCGCGAACGATGACTCCACGGCTAAAATAAAATTATTGATTAGTATTTAGCTTATGATTTTATGAACTAGCTGTCTCTACCTGTCCACCATCCAGATGCGTGACTTGGCCTCCTCCTCGGAGAGACCCTCCGCCTTCATGGCCATCAGGCACAGGTTGGCAATACCAAGAGCCGCCTCGCCGGCGCCCAAGAACAACAGGACATTGTCCCGCAGCTGGGTCTTCTTGATCTTCAGGGAGGCCAGCAGTCCAGCTACGGCCACCGAAGCGGTTCCCTGGATATCATCGTTAAAGGTGCAGAAGGAATCGCGGTACTTGGACAGCAGCCTGAAGGCATTGGCGTTGGCAAAGTCCTCGAACTGGATCAGGCAATTCTGGCCAAAGCGGCGGACGCAGGCGTGCATGAACTCATCGATGAAGTCATCGTACAGAGCTCCAGTGGCCCTGTTCTCGCGCAGACCAATGTACAGGGGATCCTGCAGCAGGGAGTCGGTGTTGGTGCCCACGTCCAAGGTGATGGGCAGGCACTGCGATGGCTTGATGCCCGCCAAGGCGGTATAGAGGGAAAGTTTTCCCACGGGAATGCCCATGCCATTGGCGCCCAGATCTCCCAATCCCAGGATGCGCTCACCATCCGTCACCACAATCGCTCGGACATCAGTCTCCGGCCAGTTCTTCAGGATATCGTAGATGTGGCCCTTGTCCTTGATGGAGATGAACATGCCCTTGGCGCTCTGGAAGATCAGGCTGTACTTCTGGCAGGCCAATCCCACGGTGGGCGTGTACACCAGGGGCATCATGTAGCCAATGTCGGAGCTGAGCACATTGTAGAACAGCCGCTCGTTCCTCTCGGACAGGTTGATCAGGTACATGTACTTGTCCAGATCCTGATCCAGCCGATCCAGGAGTGTGCGGCAGTGCTGAACCTGCTCCGGCGCCTCCCGAACCACATAGGGCAGCATGCCATGGATGCCCAACTGTTGACGCTCTTCGTGTGAGAAGGCCAGGCCCTAAAATTGATCAAGAGGTCGAATTCATTATTTAAGCTATTTTAAATTACATAAATAAATCTTTTGAAAAAAGAACATCCTAGGATATGTTTTGTGACACTTTTGAAATGTATATAAAATAATAAAAATGTATATAATCTCATCTTTATAAAGCCAAGGTAAAACAAACTCACACAATAAAAAAGTTATTAAAACAAATGAAATAATTTAGAAACAATCTAACTTTTTTTATGAGGATATATTAATGGAAATTTATTTGATGCTGAAGTAAAAATACTATTATTTATTAAGCTAGAGTTTTCTTTCCCTGAAAAATACCAATCTAAAAAGACGTCAAGATTATCAACCGATTAAGAAACCTTAACATCCTGAAGTTTACCTATAAATGAATTTGACAAATGTTTGAGTCTTTGCGCACAATTCGAATGGCCTGATCGCCCCGTAGAATAATTATACAAAACCTTTCAAACAAAACAAACAAAAGTGGGATGGTGGAAAAGTTTGCCTCTCCTTATCGTGGACTTATTTTCCCGGGCACGCGCCCCTATACAATATAGACAATCCGACTGAAACTGGCCATCGAGACAGAAGCTGTAATCACCCGACCTTCATAGATCCGAGGAGATCGAGGAAATCGCCCAGGCACGAGCCCGTTTTCAAGTTCAAAGTCGAGTTCTAGCGCCCAGTCGATAGAGATCTAGAACTGCCATTCGATTTGCAATGGGAGCTTTAGTATAAACACCTTTTTTGAGGGGATGTGACTCAGCTCTGGCCTCGATTCACACGCACAATTACGACTGCTTTTTGAAAGTTTTTGTTCCGTAATTGCTGGGACTATTTACGAAACGGACATCAAAAACTAAGATTATGTTGTGGGCGTTACCGCAAACTTTTGACTAGGTCACATATATAGATAAAAAATACGTGCAAGTTGGCATTCAAACACTCATTACGTTGGATTATGTGGTATTTACATCACGGATGTACCTGCTAATATGCACATTAGGGAATAATTACTTGTGTTTTGAGTAATTTAGCAAGCGGCAGCTGTTTTCAAATCGTGCCCGTATAAAGGCTTTTCGTAATGTCAGAGTTTAAAGCAGACTTCCTGGGACTTTCGGTTGCAACCTTGAATATGTAATACCTACATATACATATGTAAATTATCGTTACTAACGATCCATCATAAACCATCATCTGCCCCTTTGAAGCTAATCAAGTTATTGATTTATTTCTCTGCTTTTTACATCAATGGATTATTATTTTAAAAATTGATTAATGCCCCCAAAGATGTGTTAGGTAAGTCTGGGCTCATTTTGTATTTAAATATAATTTTCATTTCGTTTTTTTCTCAAATTAAGTAATTATTTCAAATTATACGTATTAAGTCATTTTTTGTTTATAGTCATATTGAATTTTATTTACCTTGTTTTTTGTTTTGTCACGCAATGTCGTTTATGTATAAAATTATATAATTAATAATTTCATATTTCAAGTGCATAAAAAGCATAGCCTGATATATATTTAAGTAAATATCACAAAAATTGATATAGATCACAAGACTATTTTTACTTATTGGTTTTACCTCAAATTTTCTCTAATTAAATTAGTATGATTATCACATTTGACTTTTCGTTAGACGTAGCTCAACACACTTTTTCATCTCCCATTTAAGTGAGTCAGTTTTTAACGTTCGTAAATTCTCCAGCTCAGCACAAATTAGTTTAATTTGAGTGACGAGTATTTTTTTTGCTCAATCATGGTGAGGGGCAATGAATTTGATGTTTTATCTTTAAAGATATGAAGGACATTCTAGTAGCACGTCAACCAAAAAATTTGAACTTAAGCTTGAGAAAATGTAATTTTGTTTAAAGATATGGATGCATACAAAGTTAAGCGAAATAAGATGCCTCAAATATACAAATGTGAAATTTAAACTAATAAAGGCTTATAACCATTTTGAGGGAAGTCCATGTGTTAAGTTTCGTTTGGATTAAATTCAATTAGTTCTGAAATTGCTGTTTGAACAATAAACACTCGAGTGATCCCCATAAACAATAATTTAGTGCCACAAGAGCCTCGAAGTTTACCATTATCGTACTGCTACGTCATCGGTGGGCTGGTGAAATACGACAAAACGAGAACGACACCGTTGACATTGAAACCGACACACGACCGCCGATAAGCGTGCGAAAGTGTTTACGAACCGCCTGGCAACAAGTATTCAACATTCTCCGTTCCACACATTTATTCATTCCCCCATTAACTGCTTCAAACATTCGAGCTTGCCTCACAATGAAAAAACCCATAAGCTTAACTCTTGTGCTTTAAGAAATAGCACAGATATTTATAGAAAATTTTGAGGTATTTAATGAATAAGGGTTTCCTGGAGCCAAGCCATTATCAAAAAAATTTAATTTATTTATATTTCTTATATTTGAAAATTATTGATTCATTTAATTTATAAAAAATACTTTATTTTATTTAATAATACGATATTTGTAAAGTTTATAATAACTGTAAGGGGGGTTTTACCGAAACTGTATATTGAAACCAGACATGCGTATACGTAATGGGCAACTCCAAGATTACGCATACACATTTCGTACGAAATTGCCAAAAAATAAAAATAACCAAAATATACCAAATAGAAATCAAACCAAAACACGAATTAGTTCGCGCTCAGCTGATTTTTTAGCGCTGTCTGGCGCGACCAGTTCGATCGACATAGTGATCGTGATCATCATTATACCTATAGCATATAGCAAATCATTAAGTTCGCTATCAATGGCAGTCTGTCTCTGAACTTTGAATACGATTCGGATGACGAAAGCGTCGCTTTAATCAGCACAAGCCGAAACAGACACAAAGCAGGCAATCTCAGGCAAATTGTTTCCTCCACAAAGGTGAGCTGATGAAAAGGTTTTCTTTTTTCGTTTCTCAGCAGGTTACACTTTAGTTTTTTGTGGGTCAGGCGATGCGAAATGATGGAGGGGTTGAATGTGCCACTAAATCCGGCTGTTTCTTCAAAACATCATGACGTTTTGCCGGAAACAAAATGTTAAGTACTTCTCTGCAAAGAAACAAATGAGTCACAGTGGAATAAACTCAAAGAAAAACACACCATACACATTCTATTTTATTCTAAATGTATCAAATTTTTTCTCTGTGTAAACTTAAATCGATATATGGGATCTATTTCCTTATAAAATCAATTATTTCAAGCATTTACACAATTCTCAGCCATTGACAACTACTATATATTATTCTTTCTTCGATTGCCCAATATAAACAACCAATACCTATAAGTCAAGTATATGTAAACAATTAAATAATCCAACTATTTCAACAAGTTCCAAGCTCTCTGCTCTTTCAGCACATTGACCGCTTGAATTTGTTTAAATTTTTAATTTCCTTAGACCTGCAATAAATAACAACACAACACAAGAGCGAATAAAGCAAAAGACAAACAATAGCGTATGTATAAATGTAAATACTTTTCTATTCGCTAACTGTATTTAGTGTGGGCAAACACAGAGATAAATATATAATTTATGTGTATATATACACGGCTGATACCGAGCGTTGCGGATTATCGTCATTCAGTTCTTGATTTATGCGGTTCGAAACAAAGTTAAATTTATGAATAAATGTAGGTCAGTTTTCGCTGGTTGGTTTTGGTTTTGCGGTGTTTTCTTTTATTTGTCTTCAGTTTCATGCGATTAGAACTTCAAAACTTTCCATAGGGTAACTCAAGGAAATCAAAACAAACCTCAGCTGTTCGAGGAAGGGGGTTGAGATAAACAAGTGTCACTTTCTGGGAGCGTGTAAGAAGTAATAACAAACTGTAGTACACAAGTGGCAGTTTCATGATAAGAAAACTCGACAAGATAATTTCTGGTTAAATTATTAATATTCGGTCTGGCTGAACTCGAGTGATTGTGGATTGACGTAGGACTAGAAAAACATTACTATTATTGTTATGGGAAATTTTTTTTGGAGAGCCTCTTCATTATTCTCGATATAGCTTCTGTTTAGGTTACGGAATTTTCCGCATTTTGCTTGCTTATTAACGTATCGCACAGAAAAAAATATTAGTCGAATTGTTTATTTTTTCAAGTTATGTATTTTTGAAATCTAAGAAATTAGCAATTTTTATTTTGAATTTTAGATGCTTTAAGTGAACATTTTCATAAAAAAACTACAACAATAAATTCTGTTTAATCAAAAATGATATATTCTAATGTTTTGTTTCACTGTGTATCTCAATAAAAAAAAAACTCAAAGCCCATGCGCCTTCTCTCTTTGAAATGCTCTCTAATTTTTCTGCAACAATTCGTGCATTAGCTCATTCATGTCTCTGTGGGAAAATAGCGTAAAATCAAATGCAAGCAAAACAGAAAATGCACAAACATTGAACTTGAAATTGCAATCCGAGATAAAATTGTAAACAATTTCGGCGCGACTGATTCGTGATAACCACGAAATACTCTACAATTCCACTAGTTGACAGACATTTAATTGGTTCAATTATAAAAGTTGGCTATCGATTTTTTGGCCTTTGACAGCCGCCATAAAAAAATATAAAAAACCCAAAAAATAAAACAAGAACAATGAGCTTTGGGCTTCCAGAGTGGCGCGTGTACTATACGCTATCTCTTTCGCTCCCTATGTCATCTAAAGGTCACCCACACCACTTGCCGAAAATGAAGCCACTGCCAAAAAGTATCTTTTTTTGCTACGAATTTGTCAGCTGACGTTTCCTCTTGATAGTTATTTATGGATTTATGAATTGGAATTTTTTATGCTCGTGCTTGATTTAAAAATAGCAAGTGGCCTACAAAAAATACACACATTTTCAAAGAAGAAGGGCTATTCTAATTTATAAAAATTCTCACGCATTCGGACAATATACAAGAATATATAATTGTACAGCTAAGGAAAAGGATAAAAACCCTTTTGTAGTAAAACAAAAAGTTTGCTAGTACAAAAAAACCCATAAACACTTTATAAATATTTGTTAGACATTGTAAACAAATCTTTCAAATAATTTTAGTTAGATTTTAATAACTCTATTAAAGAAATAGCTAATTGGAAAATGTAGAACAGTATTTGAGAATTAAGCAAGAAAATTAGGAAGGGTTGGTTCACCGTTAGAAATTTTTTTATTAGAGCTTCTAACAAATGCCTCCGAGGCTAGTCAAATTCTCGCCCTGTACCGAAAACGAAAAACCTGAACGGAGCGGGAACCCACCCTAAAACCTTTGCCTGGTACTTTTCCACTAAACTTTAAGGCCGTGGAAAGGGGAGGCGGTTGAAAAAAATACCAGAGAGGCATAGAAGTACATATGAACTTACCTTTGAGTAGCGCTTGTCGTTTAGTCGTCCCAATCCGGAGACGCTGCCGACGACTTCATTGTCCCCGATGCCCCACAATCCCAGGCGATCGCGATGGGAGTATTTATCCAGATTTGTCACTGACTTACTCATGTTGACTTCCAAATTTTGATTGGTATTACTACTATATGAACGTTGTTGTTGCTGTTGCTGGTAGTGGAGGGCGTGCAAACTGCTCTGCAGCTGATTCCAGTGATGGCGCGAGGATAACGGCAGACCCTTTGGCAAATCGCTGGCAATGGCTATATCACCCTGATCCGTATCCCTATCCGTAGCTGTCGATGTTGCGACTTCGGCGGTACTTTGCGTTGTGATTCGTGTCGTTAGTTTTGCGAAATTGGAAAGTTCGTATTCGAGTGTCGTCGTCGTTGTAGTCGTATGATTTTTACACGCACGACTACTACAACCACAGCTTTGGCTCTCCGTGAGTGGTGGTGTGTGTGCATTGTTTTTGTTGCTAATGTTGTTGTTCGTGGAAGGGGAGCTCGCATCAGCTGTTCGGCAGTGAGAGCAGCTACTTGTGCTCTCAGAGCTTCCAACGGGAATTGTGGTCTTGTAGCGCTCTTTCTCGTGGATGTGGGTGTGCAGTGGTGTTATTTGGCCTTGGGAAGGACTCTGGGAGTTGTTGGCGCTGGGATATACCGGCGTGCTAAGGGGGAGAGAGAGCAGACAAAACAGGGGGTAAGTGGGTGCGTGAATGACAAGTGAGAAGTGAGAGATGGGAAGAGAAGTATGGGAGACAATAACGGAATTGTGTTGGCGGCATGCAAGAAATGTTCTCTGTAATTCAATTAGAGAAAGAACACTGAGCGCATCGAGTGTGAATGAGTGTCAATGCGGGAGTGACAATAACGGCACTGCCAACTTTGTCGACGAATTAAAGATGCCCTTTTAAATAGGAATTATTGATGGGAGTCTAGTCGCTTTCCCAAAGATTTGTCTAACTAGTATGTTCTCCAGATGTGCAAGATTGTGTTTATTCTATGTATATAGAAGGACAACATGTGGGATACGTAATATTAAAAATCTAATATCTAAATCAAAAATAAGAATAAAATAAATGGTAAAAAAAATCTGGTTTAGAATTGTAATCTATAGCGTCATTTGTGAAAATGCAGCTAATTATATAAAAATCAAGAAAAACGGGAAACGACAATTTGAAGGAATCACTGTATCTGTAAGGGTGTTTTTCGTATCAGTTCTGTTATATAGAAAGCCTTTTTAAAGTACATACATATACGTTCATATGCAGGTACTTTATTAAGCCCCAGTGAACCCGATGAGGTGATGCACTTGGCAGACAGGCCTTCAAGATGGAAACCGATAAGCGGTGACAAAGTGACACTGATTATCGCCGGTCCAGAAACACACCCTCATGCTCCATGGTCCAATTGTCATCAGTTGATTTTACTTATTATTTGATTCTTATTATTAATCACTCACAGCCGTCCAAAGGTTTTTCTGATTCCGGAACAACGTTGTAGGATCGAGTACATGGCTTGCACTTGTGATGTTCTGTATGTCCTATATTAACTATTGATATTGATTCTCTGGGCAATTATCTCACTATTTGCTTTTTGTCTGCGTTGCTGCAGCTTTCGTGCTAAACTGAACCACAATATTCGATTTGTTTTGCCGCCCAGTCTCTTTTTCTCTTTTACATTTTACATTATCGCGATTTTTGTTTTGTTTTTCCGCGCTCTTTCTCTCTCTGATTAGTGGGATCGGCTATATTCGTAGGCGGGGGGAATCAGCTGACTGATAAGGCTGACAAACACTCATCTATATATACATACGCAATTAACGTATAATAACAACAATAATTACCACTCTAATCATCTGTCTGGAACCTAGGAAACAGTTTTTAACTGCGTGAAAAACATGTGAAAATGTACCGCGAGAACAGCAGAGGTCAAAACAATACTATTATAATGTATCATTTTTTTAATTTTTAATTTATATAAATGAAGTATTATTAAATCACAAAGCATATATCAATACTTTAATGACTATAATAGACAGTTCCGAAACTAATCCTCTTATATTTTTGACCTGCTAATTCCCAATTCGGTTTTATCCCATACTCTTGCAAAAAAAGGTATAATTATTATTATTTTTGTTTTCTTAAATTCTAAAGACAAGAAAATCTGAAATGTACCTGTTGATTTATTAAAATCTTTTTCTCAGAATTGAAACCAGATATTCCAAAATTTTGCTTAATAACTTTAAGAAGATTTAAAATATTTTCTCTAACCTGTACATATAATTTTTCTCTTCTTACCAACAGTGGTGCCTCGGTTAAGCAAAAAGGTATAAATAATTTAAAAAGACGGCTCAAGGCCAAAACCTAATTATGAACCGTCCCGAATTAACACCTTAACCTTAACCTGAAGTGTCCCGAATCGCTTGAATCCCCGACTCACTGGCACTTGAGTAACTCATACGCCCGGTGGTTCCGTACCGCATTAACTTCGATGTCTGCTCTGTTCAATTATTAGACGAAAATTGAAAGTAACACACGGCGGGCGAATAAATTGGAATATTTCAAACACATGTGTGTCCGAGTAACCTTCATAAATATTAATAATTTACGTCAGCTGGCTTTATAACGAACTCAGTCTTTTTTTTGACGAGGACTTTCGTGAGCGAAACACACCTGTCGCTGCCGTTTTTTGTATTTATTTCGAATATCGGTTATTATAGATTGAGTATATTGGATATATATCAAAGGGGGTACGGCGTGTGCTAGGAGTTTTTTATTGGAGCGCCAATGACTCTACCGTAAATCGCTGGTAAAACGCTAGTAAAGCGCATCATTAAACACTAATGACACCTCAAGAAATGGATTTATGAAGGGGGCGTGGTTGTAGGCGGTTGTTTTCTATTGGGTTTGCACTAGAAAAAGCCAGGTAATTACAGGGTTAATCTATAAGTTAAGAAGGAATTTAATGGAGCATCTAGATAATAACACTTATGAAACGTAAAAATTAATTTTTGAACAAAAAGTATTTCTCTTTAAAATTGAAACCAAATTCGTAAATAATTATGTTATTTTATCATACACTATTAGGAAACAAAAATTTCAGATCAATATAACTTTATTTTATTCTATATTTTTGCGGGTCTACTTAAAGTTTTTTAAATACTGTAAAGGTTCATTAAATTTAAACTTAAGATCCACTTATAAAATACAATTTAAGAAACTTTAAGAAAATTAATAATATATTGTTCCGAGTAACAGAAAACAAATTATGTTGTATGGCCATAACTTTTTGACCAACTCTCGCAATTCTTAAGTCCTCTTTAATTGGCGATCACTCAATTTTTATTTTTTCTTACCCATTTTCATCGAAATTTCTTATCGCACTTCGATCGGCGCAAATGGAACTGGAATTACCCATTTTCGGTTATAAATTAGGTCTAATTAACTCCAGTGAAACTATATGGTAGTTAATTGAAATTTAAAATGTACAAAATGAACTTTGAAACTGAAAACAGATGTCAGTAAACGGCAAAAAAGAGAACTTTTCACACGCGAAAATTGTTTTAGACCGCTTTCTGTCCACACGGTATTTCGCATAAATTATTCAAAGCCGTTAATAACTGAAATTAAAAGAGCGTTTTTAGCAATAGCGCTGGAGTAAGTAACTCTGAACCGCCTGAAACTGAATCAAAAACTGAACTCGCACTGAAATCGCGGCTTTACGACTACCGGAGGCCACTTGTTAGCGAGCGGCCCAAAGGAGAATGTCCGATGCAGGTGCGAGAAGGAAGGCAGCACTCGCCCCCTCCCGCTCACTCGCGCACGCCGGCAGCACGCGACATTTGCTCGAGAGTTGAGTCATTTCGGGTGGCCCCAGACATCTACAATGCCACCTGGCTATGAAGGATATCACCTAAATGGCTCTTAGAAATAACTTTGCTGTTTGGCAAAAATTTATTAATATTGTTATACTATTAAAAATGTACAAATAATAGGTAAGTTTTACAAAAAGAAAGCAAAGTTTGTAAGACTAAAAATTAATATAATTTTTTTTTTAAAACCTACTATGGGTTTCAAAAGCTAAATTAATATTTATTATAATCAGTTAAAAAATAAATGGATTTCCCTATTTTATATTTATTTTATAAAAATTATATTTTTATAAAATAAAGGCCGACAACATTTTGAGGTCTTACTGTATTTGATTAATCGTTGCAGCCTTAGAGAAGCTTTGGCGTTGAGTTGGACTTCATTTGGAGTCGTACAAAACTTGAGCGGTTGGTTAATCGCAGTGACCTCTGGGCCGCTCACACAAATGCATGAAGCAATTGGTTGCTGTCCAATTAAAAAATAATAATTTCAGGTATAAGAGAAGGCTGACCATCGCGTCCCAGTCGACTGCACTTGGTAACCGAAGAAAATTGATAAATAAATAAACTGAATTCCGGGTCAATTATAAATCAGTGGGGTAAAACGAAAAGGTAGGAAATTGTATAGTCGGTTTGACCGAACCTTAAGGTTTTTTGACTCTGGTGTCTCTGATTTTATCAGCTAATGATTTCACCGTTGCTTCAATTGTCGCCTGGGTGGCACTTGTATTTTAATTAGATTTGCTTTAATTACCCTTTCATTTGTGCATGCCAGAATATTTATTACACGTAAGTTTAAAAATCTTGTTCAATTGTGCAAATATGACACAAATGAATTACTGTGTTTAGTTTGCTATATAAAATGTGTTATTGTCGTGTATTATTGTGTGCATTGTTTATTGTTTTCGCTTTTGCGAAAGTGTCACATAAAAAGTTGCAACACGATCTGAGTTGTTGTCAGGGACAAATGTAATTTCAATTTAATCCGACTTCAAACAAATGCAATAATAACGAAAAAGTCATAAAAACAGAATGGTATAAAAATAATTTAAAAGCAACTTGGCAGAAAATTATATAGAAGTATGGAGTTGAGATCTTTGGAATTAAATAAATAAATAACAAAACCCATATACAACGAGATGAAGTTATTTTTAATGAAAATCGAACAAGCTTCATTGTTTATAAGCATAAAAATCCAATTATAGAATATTTAAACTGCAAGGGATATTTCTTGTTTGGTATTAATACAATGATTGTATTTTGAGTTAAAATTCTCATTTGTTTGGGAAACCGCAAATAGACATGCAGTCTAAAAAATTTTCCATTCCCTTGAACTATTTTACCAAGTTTCTTTGTTTAAGTAAGCACCAAAGATAATGTTTTTTAAAGGTTTTTAAAGTGTGGAATAAAAACCACAGAAAACTATTTAACTTATACAATTGTCCATCAACTTTAAGCTCATTATGGAAATAACCACATAGATATTTATCTTTCAAAACTAAAAACAATATTTTTTATCAAAAATTGGTTTTGTGGTTAAAGATTTAGTTAACTTTGCTTTAATGCTTTGCTTTTTGCGTTTTTAAGTCAGTATCTGTTTTAGTATATTAGTTTGCGGAAATTTCTAAAGTTCGACAGAGGAATCAATGCAAATGTGAAAGTATTGTCACCTTTTTGAACATGTAAATTTTATATTGTATTGGCTTAGCAATACCTATCTTTAATTTTGGGCTATCTCTATTATCCTTTTCTGATAAGCAGGCAGACATTTGATATTTGAGAAGAGTAAAGAACACAATTTTTTCATTGGAATATGAAAATGAACGATTGTTCTTAGGTTTCACTGTATGCAGAGAACGTCTGTAAATACTGATATTTCTCTAGAATTAAGTGCACTTATTTCACTGTATAAATATAATTTGTATATTGTATTGGTCAAAAACAATATTACAAATATAAGCTTTAGACATAAAGAAAATATCAAAAAAAAAAAAAAACTTCTCCATTTTGTTGACAAAAACTAATTATACTTATAATTATACAATAATACGTTTCATAAAAATTTAAATTAAGTTACTGATTTTGGTTAAAGTCTGAGCTAATGGGTACAGCTTTTGGTCTTTGATTCTAAAAAATCTGTTCCCAGACATTGGGAAAGTTTCTAGCCTAAAGCTGTTAACAACACCACGGTTCGTGTCTCGTCTACTCTGTGAGAGCTTAAATAAAACTTAAGATCGCATATAACATTTCTTTAAAACAAAAACAGAATGAACTAATGAATTCTAATTAATTATTTAATTAAGGTCATGAAATATTAACATAATATAAGATATATATATATATATATATTAATAATTACATCCTTAGTAATTAAATAAACCTATTATTATTATGATATTTCAGATGTATCCATTATGTGTGTCAGCTTTATCCCAGGTCCTGCCACATCCTCAGCTTCACAATTTTTTTCGCTTTTTTCCCGTCTTCAATTTAATAACAGCCAGATGAGGGTAAAAGCAGCGACGTGCAACAAGCAACAAAGCAATTGAGGGCCACTTTTATCATCAAATGATTTTACCCATCTAAGACGGCGCAATTTCCACGAAGATGCATGGGGACAACACTATAAAAAACATTAGTAAAACAAATCAAATTAATTGAAATAAAAACAAGTTAAAAGTATGTCAGTACTTTTTTAATGTAAATCAAATCAAAATTAATTTAGAATTACTAGAAGTTGTAATTTAAAACCATTTAATTGAAAAGGTGTGTAATATTTAGAAATATAACAAAATTGAAGAATAATAAACATAATTTGAACCTCGAAATAAATTATTAAATAGATTTACTTTTTTTTTAAATTAGAAATTAAAACAAAAAGGGATTTCATAATACAAAAACAAGGTCATTATAAGATTTATCGCATTCGTGATACAATTTCGTAATTTTAATTAGAATGACCTTCATTTTTAATAAATTTAAAGTAAATATAAAAAAGTGCATAACTTGAAATAATTTTAAAAGTGTAAGCTGAAATGGCGGACTGCAGGGCATTTGTGTGGCGATTGCCAAAAAAAACACAACTGGGGATGGTGGTTAGTATATGGGAGTGCAACGGTAATCTATCATAATTTTTATATCCTAAAATCCCATTTTCGTATTAGAGCAAAAATGTCTGAGAGCAAATATAATAAAATGGCCAACACATCGTCGTGGCCGACTGCCAGAAGGTACAAAGGACGATGGAGGAACTTCCACAGTTATGCTCCTTGTCAAAGGACAACACACTCACACTCCTACGAAGAGTATTAAATTTCAGCCAAGCGCTTGATTTTTCACTATTTTCGATTCGCTCCTTCTTTTGCTATCCCTCTCTCTTTCTCCACGTCGACATCTGTCTCTTTCTATTAGCCTTTGCACGCTGCGTTTTATTTTTCAATGCCTTGGCTTTGGCCGTCACAAAAACGTTCAAATGCCCAACAATTTTATGAGTCTCGCGTGCACGATCCCACTTGCTCTTGGTCTTACCAATTCGGAAATGGCAAACTAGATAAAAAATCTAGTGGGTCAAAGAAGAAATAACAGAGTTAATGGTAGTTTGACTTATAGTTTCCAATTTTGATTTTTAGCTTAACACACTTAAGTAGCACTGAATATTTTCATTTTAATACAGCCATTACAATAATTAGATACTTAAGATTTTCAATTACAATTGGTTGTGTTTTTTTGTTATATCCCATGTTTTTCTTATATCCCATTCTAAATACTTATGTGAAGGTTGACCGCTTAAATATTTTACAGAAAGCGATCACACCCCAAACAATACGATTAGTTTAAAGCTAGCAAAGGAGAGGTCTTTTTGGACTTATTTCCTTTAAAGCCATTCAAAAGCACGAAAATTGGCGGGGACGGAGAGGCCAAAGTAAATTTAAATTAAAAAGCGATAACTATTTTTTAATATGTGGTCAGGTGGTGTTGGGTAGCGGCAAGTCAATATTTTATATTTAAATTAAAAACGGCAACGCCCTGTAAAAATTCGTCGAAGTAATGCGGCAAAATCCCAAACGAGCCAACGTGGCGTATAATTAATTTTTAAATAATAATATAAAAGGCAGTCAATAAAAAAAACTGGAGACTCAATGGGGAAAAAAATTACCTGAACACCGTTAAAGTAAAATGAAGCATATATATAGGTTGATATTGAAAAATCGTTTCACGCGTTTTAAACCGCTTTAAAAAAATCACCGATGGCTCATCGATGGTAAGGGACTTCACCTGGCTCATTATGCATTTACAACTACATTAAATGGGATGGTAGTCGGCAGAAGTGCGGTGGAGTTATATACACCTCCGGCCACGCCCACTTGGGAACATCGCCTGCGGGCGACAGCAGCTGGCATCTGCGGCAGAGGCAGAGGCAGATAGCCGGAATGTCAGCGCCAGCGACCTTGTTTGGGGCATGTATTATTGGCCACTTGACTAGCGAGCATCGGACTCTTTAATTGCCCGCCAAGAAGTCGACAATTTGCAGGGGAATTAAATCAGCATTGCCACTGGAAAGCTTGTCCTTAAAAATAACGAAGAACTTTAAGTACACTTTTTTTTTGTTA